AAAATAAAAAAAAAAAATAGAATAAAAGAAAAAAGAAAAAAAAAGTCTAAACCCCACAGACTAAATACAGTAGCAAAATGATACATCCAGCATGGATCATCTCATGTGTCAGTTTACCGCACCAGTGGAAACGCACCCACCGTGGCTTTCTGGGATGCTGGATCTCGGAAAACCGAGTAGACTCTATCTTGCAGGACAGGTGCAGGCCGCCAAGTGGAACACCCTAAGGGACGATGGATCCCAATGGGCTGATTGTCCGTTCGCCAAACTCCTAAAAATGGCGCTAAGCGCCGAACTAGTTAGTAATTCACCAGCTGTGCTTTCAGGTTCCCAAGCATTCCGGCCATGTTCTCGCCACACTTTAGTCCCACGATATGCACGAGGGAATCCGATGCGTTTCAGGTCCGGAGGCATCGACCGGTTAGGAAAGGTTTCATCCGAGGTCAGAGGAGAAGCAAAACATCATGGATACTCCCTGACTCACTCTGTCAATTGAGTTTTCAGGGACCCTACGTTTGCCTCGATGATGACGGGGATGAACTCCGCGAAAGCCACACTTTCCCAGCTCAGCCACACCCCGGCCACGGTTCCCGGAGACCAGCTGAAGACATCCTGATTGACAGCCTCAGGCGAATCTCCTTCCCGCTCACAGCATTGCTGTCACGTCTGCCCAACTGGCTCGGCTCCGGTGGCGAATCCTATCTGCAATGCACATTCGACTACGTCAAGAGATGGCCCCAGGGCATGCAAGACAGCTATCCACTCAGCCTTCCGTATCCTCGCTCATTCCCTCCGACGGTGCTTCGCGCTTGCATAGCGCTCACTAACTGCACTCCTTGCAGATTGTCACGTCTCAGATACTGTGGAGACACAGAGAGCTTGCAGGTTGTGTAATCTCTGCTCGAACCCATCACAATCCCCCATGTCAAATCTAATTCATACCGAGATCCTGGATCCTGCACGTTGCCACAGACCTGGAGAAGTTCAGGCGAATCATCGTCCTCCGTCTACTGTTTGTCTGCCCTGGCAGCAAGGGTCCTGCAACTATATCACCAGGCGAAGGACGCATTGTAACAACCGGAGTCGGAGCGATGCTATTAAATATCATTCGGGTCTAGCAAACATGCATGTTCATACGTTCAACATTCAGTCCTTTTCGGCAATCGCCTGCAGCCGTTCATCAATCTCATCCTCCGTCAGAGCCCGGAAATTGACATCCGTGCCCTCCTGGCCATCCGCCCGAGGGCCGCCAACGATTCCAATCTCCAATTCGTGCTTCTTGAAATCGACGCTAAGCACATTGCTCAAGGCTGTGATTCCCAATTCGACAACTTCCTCCCAACTGCCCTCGGCGTAATCCTTGTTCTTCAGCTTCTTTTCCAGGTAAGTGATCGCCTCCTGCTGTTTCGGACCAGATGCGGTGGCCTTGTATCCGACGTAGTAGCCTGCAGGGTCGCATTTGTAGACCTGTGGGCCATTCTCCGAGTCGACAGAGATCAGGGTCGTAGCGACTCCTAACGGGCGCATGTAAGCCTAGAAAGTATTTGCGTCAGTCCACAGAACCCCGAATTGGCCAAGACGGATGATACATACCCTCTGTGTGTAGACCTGATTTATATTGGCAAGTCGCTTCGCAAGAACATCACAGGGCATTTCGTAACCGTATTTGTATCGGAATTCCGCCGCCTCTCCACGAGCACGGTCAACGGAAGCCCTAGCATCCGCTATAGAACCGGTCATGACACAACCAACCGAGGGAGAGAGCCGAAAGATATGTGAAACGGAGGATGGATCAATCAGTTTGTCCTACGGTATCGTTAGGCAATCTCAGGACTCAAACATGTGCGGAAAATGTAGCTTACAGCAACTTTCTTCTGAGACAACACCACGGCGCAGTTCTTTCCCCTCACACCCAACGAAGTTATGTTGGCTGAAGTGATGGCTTTGAAGGCATACTCTGTTGATGACGGAATATGGACGATCAGCTATCCAGTTGTCTTATGGCGATGGTCCCCACATGTTCGGTTGATGCCGAACTGTTTCTCAAGGACATAGTTTCCAAACCGAGGCACTTACCGACTTGATACAGACGACCTTGGTCCGAGAAGATTGTGATATGTCTGTCATATGCGCTTCCTGCTCGCAAAACGAAGGTCAGTAATCGATGAAGTCATGGCACCAGGCTAATCAATTTATCCAAGGACCCTACCAGACATGATGGCGACGAGTGTATATAGTACTCAGCAAAGTTACCAAGCGGGAATAACAAAAATGGAAGTGGTAACGAAGGTATCGAGAGGCACGAAGAGGGGGAATGGCGATGGGGGATGATGAGGTTCGAAAGGACGCGTGCCAGAGGGTGCCTGAGGGCCGGAGCTCTGAGCTATTGAGTAAGCTCCACCGTCACCGCCTTTGGACCGCGCATATCAATTGGCGGATCGATGAATCCGACAAGTTACTACTAGTACGTACCATTTCTACATGGGACAACTTGGGTATAGATTATGGCTCGTTTGTTTTTATGCCTTCATAAGCAAGTTTTGAATAGAATAAGTTCTGAAAATACTGTTCTATCCGTATATACTGGGTATACATGGCAACTAACAACAGGCGAATCATGCCATCAGTTTGACGAACTCCTTCATATGCCTAGACCAGGTATCCAACTTTTCGCTAAAGACTTTTCGAACGTAATCCTTGAGAACTTTTTGACGATGTTTCACCGTATGAGTATGGACTCCAAGTGAGCCACCTCGAGCAGAAATGTAGGAGAAAAAGACGAGATAATAGGCCCGAAGAACCTATGCAATGGAAGTTAGGAAGAGGAAGAGGAAGATGACGACGAGGATGACGAATCACTCGAGCTTGTGCTTTCAGAATCGCTGTCACTGCTCGAATCAGAAGACGAATCTCTGGGCTTCTCATTCTTCTTTTTGCTGGCAGCAGCATCGTCGTCGCTGTCGCTGTCACTGTCACTAGAGCTTTCACTCTCACTGCTGCTTGATATTTCCACAACAGCAGTCCGGTTCTTCTTCTTTTTCTTCTTATTTGCTTGGTTCTGGTTCTTCGCGCCCTTTCCTTTCTGCGCCAGAGGCTTTGGCTTCTCGAAGATGAACAGCGTGCCATTGACTGCATACAAGACGAGCTCCGCTCGCTGTCTCATCTCAAGCTTCTTCAACGCATCGCCTTCCAGCTTATCCGTAGATCCAGTCGTATTCAGCTCATCTTGTTTGCCCTGGGACAAGCATTCCCTGAAGGCGCCAACTGCACTATTATAGTTCTCCTTCTCAGACGGGACATGTTCCTCAGACTCGTCCACGGCGCTTTCATCCTTGTCATCGGATGAAGCCTCCTCAATCTCTGCCTTCACGGCCTCCTCAGCAATCTCACGTAACCGCTGCTTAGCACCTTCACTCTTCAAGCCCTGAAGATACACAAGAAGAGCAGCATTATATTGAGTCGGCACCTGCTCCAACGAAAGAACATGTTTGAAGAGATGTGTTTCGCGGTTCTTCTGAAACTTCCACGCCGACCGATGTTTGTAGTAAAGACTCAGGTAGGAGAGAATAGGTGTCTCATGAATCTTCGGGGACGCATCACTCGCTGAATCTCCAGCGGCCGACTGATCCCTCTTCTTCTTTTTCTCCTTCTTCTTCTTCTTCTGCTTCTTCCCTCCATCCTCGGCGTCGGCGTCGGCATCGGCATCGGCATCCATATCGACATCGCTTTGGGCATCACGACTCGGCACCTCCTTCTCCTCTACCTCAGTTGAGAAAGACACCTTCTTCTTTTTCTTGCGGGACTCGTCGTCTTTTTCCTCAATTGCAGGTTGTTCTTTTTCGTCCCGCTCATCGTTATCATCATCAAGTCGTCGTTTTTTGTTCTTGCGCGACTTCTTATCCTCTGGCTCGGGTTCGGCTTCGGCTTCAGCATTACTCTTCTTCTTTGAATCTTTCTTCTTTTCCTTTTTGTCCTTCTTCTCCTTCTTTTCCTTCTTTTCACCCTTGTCTGTATTTTCCTTCTCCTCTTCTTCGGAGTCCTTGGCGTACTTGAGCTTCAAGCCTAACTTTTTCCACGCCGGGACGTGCGACGGCTGGGAGGATTCTTCGCCGGACATTGCGACAAATTGCGGTCTCCTTTCGAAACCTCCACGAAAAAAAAGGTCGGTCGCGTATATGAAAAGACTCTGGGGAAACGATGGAGAAAAAGACGCAGTTAGCGCCTAAATGGTGGGTGTGGGTTGTGCAAACTGAACTTTTGAATTGTACTGTAGAAAGTTTTGGGAAATTTTTCACGTGAGTTGCGGAAGTTTAGCAACACCGCGGAATTAGGTTATTTTTTTTTTAAAGTCCGCCTCCATTTGAATATATGATTGGGATTTACGTGTGTATTTCTTCCAGCTTAAACCTCTCTCATATTCACAAAACATCTTTTAGTATGTAGGTAGATGTATCAATGACCGTAAAATCATCGCTTGCATTATCTATTCATGCCATTAAACTTTGTCCTTCCGATTCCTTGACTCCAGTTTCACAGTCCCGACCCTAGCCTCATCAAAGATGCGAACCCACGATGCATTTAAATGGCAAGTACATTATGGTGCTCATGCACCAGAGCCACTGGCGCTTTCCACCCCGTTTGGATCTCTTCTCTCTTTCTTCATTTCCTTTTGTGCAGTACCTTCTGCTGCCTTGCGGCGGAGTCGTTCCCTGTCTCGGGAACTCGTCGCTGTCCTCCGCCTTCGCACCGGTTCGTAGAAGTCGTTGAAGTTCATTACTACAGCGAGGAACCGCATATCTACATCTGGTTGGTATGCTAGGTCGCCCAGGAGTGTATTCAACCGCGACCGAAACTCGGCAGACAGATCTCGGAGTCGAACACGTAGGGACGAAAGCATGTGGTCGTCTGCAGAAAGGTCCTGGCCGATGAGGGACGATGGAGTACCTATATCGTCGGCAGAGTTTCCAACATTCGGCGTGGATACCGATGACACCGAGTTTTGGTGTCCACGAGTGCGCCGGGATGAGAGAAGGTCGCGTTCTGTAACGCCCCATCGGCCTTGTGCGGTTCGCGTTTCGATTTTAGCACTAAGCTCTTGCCTTCGGGTGAACTCGGCGACAGAGAACGAGTACAGCCCATCGACGGCATCTTTATATGCAAGCATGATCTTCAGTATCTGGTGTAATTGAGTCAAGAAGCTCTCTTCTTGATGCTTGTTTGAGGACGAGCTCTTAGACGAAGATGAGGAGCCTAGTAGACCCTTGTGTGTAATCGAATCGAGATATTTGGTGTGTGCTTCAATCAGATCATCCAGCGTACATCCTGGCTTGGAGATAGATGCTTGCAACTGATCCCAACTGGCCTCAATGACTTCGAACAGGATGTAATATTGTAATTGGCAAACAAAATGGATCATTTCAGCAATGACGCATCTTGCTCCCTTCCAATCGGGTCCTACCTTATCGTCGACACTTCTCAGTACTCCTCTGGCACCGGTCATACATCGTCGCCAGGTGCTGCCCAGGGCAAACTCGACCCGTTTCACGCGCCATAGGAAATTGAAGACTTTCAAATATTGAGTAGAACCCCAGGGTGTAATGACTACATCAACTGGCGCATCTATCTTATACTCGAGCGTGAAACAATCCCAGCCAATCTCACCGTGACTGAGTTCGAGCATCCGGGCATCTAGTCGGCGAAGGACATCTGACGAGTCATATTGAGCATTCGAAGCACGAATAGCATGCTCCAACTGAGCCGTGAGCGTATGTCTGTACTGGGAATTAGCGGGACGGTCGAGGTTTGAAGCCAGTGATTCCATCAAGAGGGCAATGAAATCACCCTGTCCCAGTAACAGGTACTTCTTCAGCGCCCGCAGATGATCGAAGAGCTTGAACTTTTCATCCATGAGGTAAATCAGCCGCGCCATTGTGGATTTATATGCCTCATCGATGGATGTTTCTAGACTTGCTGTGTCGCCGTACCGCAACTCTTTCGAAGTCTCCTTTGAATAGGCTTCTACCCATCCCGAGTCCCCACAGCCGTACCTGATGAAATTCAAAGATTTTCCTATCAAAAATACTTTTTTGGCAAAATCCTGCGTAATGATGGATGGCACCAAGTCGTCGTCAAGCTTATACTTGTCTTCCCAAACGCTTGTCGCGATGCGCCGGGGATCAGCGCTTGGACTAGCCTCTGGCTCTACTACAAAGAACTCTTGATATGGATCTGAAAGCTCGCCATCGTAGATCCATAAGCGCAGCATATCATAGAACGGACGCGTAACATGTGTAAGCAGTTTCTCAGCTAGTGCGCAGACGAAAGGATCACCGTGAGAAGTCGAGAAGCCATGTATCATTGATATAAGTTGGCCGCCCTTCTTGTCTAAAATGTCGTTAGTAATGGAAATGCTAACGCAGATCAGATCACTTACTCTGAGCTTCTTCGACGATCACACTCATTAATCTCAATGCCATTGTCGCATCTCTTGTCCAAACTACGCATCTTTTCAGCGTAACCCCGGTTTTGGCGACGCTGGCGGGAGAAGTAGAAGCTTCAGGAGCGGCCAGCGCCCTTCGAATCTCCCCTTCCAGTGTCGCAACTAACCCAAGATACGAACGCAGCTCATTTGAGAGAGCTGCTCGCAAACTCTGGTTCACCAACCCCCCACTGGAACTTTCAACAAAAGCCGACAACTTTCGATATAGTAGGCCCGGCTCGGCCAATGTGTTCAGAAGGGATATCAAGGGGATGGGCAGAGTCGGCGGGAGTTTGACGGTAGAGGAGGACGTAAATTCGAGGTTTGATGACGATAAGCCCTGAAGGATGAAAGGAAGGTCGCGCAAAAGCCCATTTTCGACAGGTCGAGCTAGTTTCTGTTGATTGTCTGGAGCCGGCTGGGGCGGAACGGTTCTCTGTTCCTCCGTCTGGATGTCTCTTGCTGCAGCATCTGACATTGCGCGATGCCTCTGGTGCTCTCGAGCAACCTCAGGATCTTCATCTTCTCCCATGTCCCGTATCTCCCGTTCAGGTCGTCGCTGAGAAGCTTTCCGTTCGAGGCGCGCAGGTAGCTGCGATGCTGATGAACTGATCGCAGGACCTTCCTCGTCTGACATTGGCCCCATTCCCTGTCGCGCTCGCTGTCCCTTCCACAACAAGTTCTGCAAATTACCTGGTTCGACAGCTGGACTCCGACTACCTCCTTCCTCCTCGAAGCTTTCGTCGTAGTCGTCCGAACTCGACAGCCGATAAAGAAGGTACAAAATGGCCCACTTTTGTGATAGGACAGGTTGGGTTAGAAGGCGCGAGTATAAATTGGAGAATCGCATTGCTTTATCTGGGCTCGCATTCTCACGTAGCAGCTTCCGCTTGATCAAATCCGACGCGTTGTTGATATTCTCCCCCCCTGCTAAGCTTCCTCTACGAGTGATCCCCAGGCCTGCTCCATTTGGCGATGTTGGATCATTGCTCGAATTGGAATAGGCATCGAGTATTCTCCATGAGTGTTCGAGGTTCTCCTGTTGTCGCACTGCGAGGGCCTCGTATTCTTCGTCGGGGAGCTCATCTTCCGTGGCAGCGTAAGAGAATCGGTGAGTGAGATTGTCAACGAGCTGCGAGAGGGCGTCCTCAATGCGACGCGGGCGCGTAGAGTGACGAGCTGACATAATTAGCAACCCAGCTTTCCAAATGCTTTCCCAAGCTAGATTTATTCACGACCCCTCGTGACGTCGATGATCACCAGTGGATGTACAGCAATGTGGGATGCCGAGCAAGCAAACACAGTTGAATTCAACGCGGGGGAGTAAAACAGCGCATAGCTTCCTGCCCCGGATCGCATATAATCGGCCAATGTTCAAAAGCTATCGCAATGAGCGTGCGGCGGTGGTTGCTGTTGTTGTTGTTGTTGTTGGTTTGCCTAGTTTGAGCTGTTTGAACCCTCCCGTGACCGCCAAGCTCTCTTTAGTTTATCCAGACTACTAACAGTAGTGGTAGCATGTAATCTGGAGGGAAGACATCCCAGCCACTACTCTACGAATCTACGTATGACACATCATTTAAGATTGAACTGATTCAACCTCAGCATGTTTGAATTGTCAAACCTAGGACCATCTGACATGCGAGTCGCTGTAGCAACACTGAACGGGAAAAGCAAACAGCCCCCAGAACGCCACCCGATTAACGCTGTATCTCGAGGAAGGAAAGAAGAAGTGGAAAAGACACATCATTCCGTGTCTTTTGAATATCAGACAGCCGAATTGAAGCCCCAAGACTAAGGGAGGTCAAAAAAGACCCAGAAGACAGAAGTAAGCAATACACAAACCCCAGCCCCTTAACTCATGGACTAAGGTTTCAAGATGTAGTGTAGAAAAAGACAGGGGAGAAGTGGAAAGAATAAAGGAGAAAGACGAAGAAAAAATAGAGTAACACAGCCAAAAGAAGCTTTTGCGCCAAGTTTGCACCCTCCAGAGATTCGATAAAATCCCGTATCGCACCATCAGATTCAGCCCGTCCAATTTTTGAATTCGTATACATCATTAACACCTACCCATGCCCAGAGGCCCACGTTTTAAAAAACGGAAGCCGAATGTAACTGAAACGTAACAAGAACCCATGGAGATGGTCTGGGCTCTAGACAGAAATGGCCCTGCATCCAGGGGTGCAAAGCAAAGTAACGTTGTAAGTCGTAGCAACGCGAATAGACCAAGATCGGAGGATATTAAGATCGCAGTCTAGAAATTATTTATTCATTGTCTTCGGAGTCCCTGTGCAGGGATAGGTGCACCTGGTTGCATTCCCATGTTGCTAGGGATGTTATACGGATGAGGGTCGAATCCTGCCGACATGCCGTTCATCATCAAGGGCCCAAGTCCTTGGGCCTGAGAAACTGGGCAGTCCTTGTGTGCTAGTAGGAGCGTTTTGAGATTGACAATCTCTTCACGCAGTTGAGTGACGGTAGCAGTAAGCGCATCATTTTCTGAAGTAAAAAGCTCAACTTTTGCTTGCAAATTCGCAAGCCACTGTTTCTTTCGCTGGCGACATTTGAGTGCAGCGACCCTATCGATGCCATGTCAGAAATGCACTCGGCGCCACAAATACTGTGAAACTTACCGATTCCTCTCGAGGAAATTCTTTCTCTTCTCTTCATCCGTCATCTTCTTGCTGTCATTCGGTGACTTCTTCTTCTGCTCTTCCTCTTCCTCTGAATCAGCGGCATCAGAAGGAGGCTCAGTGCTACCAGAGCTAAGCTTGGCTTTCTTGTTCGACCCTTTAGCTGGAGCATCATCTGCTTTGCGCCGATTGTTCGCTGCCCCGCCAGTCTTAGAAGCCGTATTCTTTTTCTTTCCTTTCGTGACAGGCTTCGCCTGTTCACCTTGCACGTCAGACACGTCGTCACTTGTCTCTCTGCCGTTAGAAGCTCGTCGATCAGAATCGCGACCTTGATCATTATTTTGGATGTTCTGTGGTGGTATGGAGGACTGGTTCGAAACAGCGAATTGATTGGGATTCGCCTGTCCGCCTTTGGCTAGCATGAATAGCCCATTTGCGGCATCCGCAGCATCATGATGGCCGAAGGGATCCGACTGGTTGGGTTTAATATCCATGGTCGTGCTCTGTGCTGCTTGCTCTGGATCAGAGGTTGGGTTAGAGGTTGGGCCATTCAGAGCGTTTTTCTTGGCGGCGTTCAACGCAGTACGATGAAACTCAATAGTTGAGGGAGTTGCACCCCCACTTTGCAATTGCTGCAGGAGCGCCTGGGAGTTCGGGCTCGGTGCCGGGAACATGGAGCCTCCACCACCAGGAGTCAATCCAGTGCGCAGAGAGGACTCGTTCGGGGTAGGGAAGCCTCTGCCGATGCTGTCGAAATAATCGCTGGAACCTGTCGGACCGGCGAGCATGGCCGGGCTCAGGGGCCCAGAACGCAAGGAGTTAGACCAGCTATAACCGCCTCCGGCCGAGCTAGCACCGGGTAAGGCAGGAGACGTGAGCGAAGCGACTGGAGGAAGGATCGACTTCCCAGGTGTCTCGCCAGATGAGCCACCACTAGTGCCACCACCACCAAAGGATTGCTCAAAGGGGTTCGGTTCCAATGAAAAGGGATTGTGCACAGAATTAAAGTAATCTGGGGTATCCGCAGCTGATGTTATGGCCGGCCGCGGGGGAGGCGCCAGTGAGGTCTGGGGATCTACATCGGACTTTATGTTCTTGGTCTCTGAAGACGACGCCTGGGAGTCTGCAAAGCAATAACAGGTCCAGTCAGCAGGTGAGTAATACAACGTGACGCGACTTGAACGCGACAGCGAGGTGTATCTGAGATGGATCGGGCAGTGAAGTGTAACGGGCGACAATGAGATAACATTTCCGTCGCGTTACGGTGGTTAGGGTAATGGCAGTAAGCGATCTGATAACAGAGCCCCATCGATGACGCCAGGTGTGAGGTCATCCCGACGGCTGGAACACATAACAGAACATCTGGGGGAGTAGTGGCGTATCTACCAAGCCAGAATGGGCCAAGGCTTAATAGAAGATACAGATGTCGCAAAAACTCTCTTGCGACTGACAACTTCTCGATATAAGGAAGCAAAGTACCGATGACCCAAGAAAAAAAAATTCAAGCAAAAAAGAAAAGGTCATGTGCACGCACACACAAAGAAGCTCGAACTAGAAGGGAGATATACTAACCTTCGGTTTCCAAAGCGTTCTTTTTCGCGTCCATTGGGGATGTATTAATTGTATCAGCGCGATGTGTTAAGGTGCCTGTAACTGCTGATGCAACAGCTGCAGACATAATTTAGCTGGACGTGACGGTTATATTAGACAAGCGAAGGGGCCGCGCGAGTGATCAGAGAACCTAAGGCCGGGAAAAGAGAAGAAAAAAAAAAGGTAAAAAAAAAAGAATCAAGTGAAGACTGGTGGCAAAAATATGGAGTAATTCTTCAGAACAATACGCAAGGAGAAAAAGATAATATAGATCAGAAGGTAGGCAATGCTCTTGAAGACTGATTCAAGGCAATTTGTTGATGTCCGTCCGTTATTCTGCACAGAATCCCAGAGTAACTGTGAAGGGAAGGGAAATGAGAAGTTGTGACGTAGTCGGACTCAAAGGGAGTTTTTAGGGGGAGAGAAAAAGAGGGGAGGCGGTCGAGTGTCGTGAGCTAAGCGTTTTTGGGCCTTGCCTAAAGAACTCGACTCCTGTCACGCTAAAGTGTAAAAAAGAAATTCGAAAAATAAAAAGAATTATGAAAAAAAATAAAAAAAATTTGCAAGCTAAGGGTGTGTACAAAAGGCCAACGGGTACCAGCTAAAGTGCAACCTCAAACAGTAGAATAGGAAAGTCGGCTCTTCTTTCGCACCACAGTATTCTCTTGTCGTATTTCTCTTTTTCTTTCTTTTCTTTTTCCACTTTGTGTCTGTGGGCTGCTTATTTCTTTTCTTCCTTTGTTCTATTTTTTTTTTTTTTTTTTTTTTAAAAAAAAAAAAAAAAAATGTTTCTCTCTCTTCTTTCGTTTTGCCTTCGTTGATTTCTAATCCAAAATTTCAAGAGCTAATTTTGATAGACGGAATGACAGGAGGGAAAAGGGAAACACTTGGATGGAAAAGAGCCAACCTTACAGGAGGGGAACAAAAATAATCACGGTCAAGCAGCGAATTATGCAGTCGAACACTGGGTGACCCTTACGGAGTATGTACAGGACCTGCAACAAGAACTTGGAGACAGGTGGGCACCCGGCAATACGTTTCGACCAATATGAATGACGCAAAGCCCGTGGACGCGATGGGGTGAGGGCGGAAACCACAGACCAACTCAAACCGGACACCCGTCAGTTGCGACAAGATTAGGAATGTTTCGATAATCCAGGGATAACTAAAATTGTAGAGGACGAGAAAATTGAAGAACCGACGCGACAAACAGGTCCAATTCAGAAGGGAGACAGAATGTAGGGGAAAAAAAAAAAAAAAAGAGCAGAGATGAAGTCACGGTGACGACGACAGGAATTTTCTGGGACGTTGGACCAGCCGGGTGGCCGCTACGAGTGGGGAACGCCTTGGGTGGCCACTCGCCAGCGCTAGTTGCTCCACCCCTTCCAACCACTCATCGCCCTGATTACGAGCCCCACTTTAGTCGTGACTCCAGAATCCAACCTGGAACATGATTTTTGAATCGCCAAACTTCCAAGGCCGCAATGGGATCTGCCATAGATTCGAAATAGCGAATCAGAATTTATGCCAGTTGGTTGTCTTGCAGGGCGGTGAATCATCCCCGTCAAGTGAATGGTCAAAATCCGCACGCGAGAGATGCAATAAAATCCTTCTAGCCACTGGCGGGCCCTCATCAGGCGATAACGAACAAGGAATCGATGGTCTTCGAACCATCCATGCTTCGGTTTCTCAGGGGGGTTCTCGCTGTTCGGAGAATGGCACATGGAGTTGCTGATTGGGCCCTGTTGATGACGCAATGCATCTGGGACGTTCGTCCCGTGGGTTTACATCACGTGATTCGTGGTCGCTTGCTCTCGTTGGCGGGCCAGACAAAGACAAGTCGAATTTCTTGGATTGCCACTGAGGTGAGGATCTGGACAAAGCACCATCCATTGCCTCCACCCGCCCGTCCAGACTTGTCTAAGTTGGTTGGGGATGGATTAAGAGGGCGTCGACTATTGTCGACTGGAATTTGTTTGCTTACAGTTCAACGAGTAACCTTCAAAAGTGTCGGGGGTACATAGTCGTACACTGTCTAGGCATGTATGTATGTCTCGTACAACTGGCAGTGGTTAGTATGGATCTAAGGGTATCGCTGCATTTGCCGGCCAGTTGACGATGCACAATCCCTGACACGCTGACTGATAATGCGAATGCTAAATATTATGCATAATTGGCATCGAGTCATTCAGGTTTCCGGTTGGCAGAGAAAAAGAAAAGGGATTAGCTTTGTTTGAGATCTCGGGTGATTCAGGAATAATACGAGTTAGTTACCTAGGTTTGCCGATTCGATCCTCAACTGCTCGTGATCTGTGAATATCAACAAGTCCACGAAGATTGACACATTTGTGTACTATGCTACTACTACTTCATTCACTATCGTAGCTGCCTCAGGTGAACCAGGCAGCAGGTTTTGCCCTTCGGTTCCGCCTCGTGTAACCAGCTGACAATGACAAGGCATACTCAGTAGTTCGTGGCTTCTTTATAAGATGGGGCCTGATTCTCACTTCCTCACTAGCTGATGTTGCTCTCTCTTTATTCCAAGATAGTTAATCACATCCAGGACAACAGATCGGATCGAAATGGCAAAATCACAGAATATTCCAGAGATCATCCTTCTTTGCATGGAGAAGAAGTTTATCACGGCATTCAACGAAGCTCTCCCGATGCAATGGCCATCCTTCGCAGAAAACCCGAAGATCAAGATTAACGTGCTGAACATGGGACTCCATGCGGTCCCTACCACGACCAAGTTCCAATTAGTTGTCTCACCTGCCAACTCGTACGGCCGCCTAGATGGTGCCTTTGATGATGCGATCTCACGGAACTTCTGTCGTCCATATCATCCTTATGACATGCTCACACACGCAGCGCAGCAAGTGCTCTACGAAAAATGGAGAGGCTTTGCGCCCCCAGGATCTTGCACGCTGGTCCCGTTCCCTAAAGATATGGCAGGCACAAATGCGTGGGGCTGTAAATGGGTAGCGATTTGTCCGACCATGAGAGCTCCAGATATTGTTACGTGGGACCGAGAAGTAGTGTACGAGTGTGTGTGGAGTTTGTTATGTCAAGTGGAAGGCTGGAACCATGACCGATCCAAGGACAGAATTGATACTATACTGATAACACCACTGGCAACAGGAGTTGGACGTGTAAGTCCTGAGAGATGGGCATCACAGTTTATCCTAGCAATGAAGCATTTCGTGGATGCGTTGGAACGGCCGGAGAGGTGGAGTCGCATGGAATGGGGGGAAATTGACAAGGATGTGATGGAGGTCGAAAAAACATGGAAAGAATAACTTTGGTGCATTGTTGTTATCACAGTTCAAGGTCTCAGTTTACTTGAGACTGTCAATCTATGTGTTTACCTGCATACATCAATATACGTCATATAGCAGCCAATGCCTCCACCCTAATCAAACGGTGATAAGACCCCTCAGGCGCTTTATCGATAGCCTCACGATCCGCGATAAGTTGAGTAGTTCCAAGGCCCCAAGAGTACCGGCACATGATAGTGCCGCCATCCCTCCTCCCCTTCTCGGCCGCGTCCCTTCACCGTGAACTTCACCTCCACCTCAGGCCAGAAACTTTCGACTCCTTGGGCTTCATACCATGGTCCAACTTCGAATCGCACGGACCAGTGCGTCTTGCTGTCAGCTGCCGGGAGGGATGAGAGGATAGCAGGAACAGGGGCGGGGCAATTCGTCGCAGGCGTCCAGTTTTTGACACGACCATCAGCGTCGGTGGTTGCGGTGAAAGTGACGGGGCTTTGACTGCTTGAAGGGGCTGATAAGAGAGTCAGCGTCACCGGGAGGTTCGCCGCCGGAGTACCCGACAGAGTATTTAGGACGTGGCAGGTAATAGGGTCGCGAGACATTGTAGCTGATGTGCTTGTAGCAATGGAGTTGTTGACAGCGGTGGAGGATGCTGGTGGTGGAAGCAGCTGTTGTTGGTAAAGGCTGAGTCGGTCTTTGGTTCTGCCCAATTGGTCACTCGATCTCAAGTCCATCAAGAAATATGCGAGAAGAAAAGGAGAGCAATAATTGGAGAGTGGGAACTGTAAAGAAATGTCCGGTATTTTTTTTTTTTTCTCCTCTATCCCCTTATATATAGACCTATGGGGTTTTTGTATCTCCGCTCTTCATGCATCGGAGACCACCGACAGTCTGTTGAACCCTTCCGGAGTATACCTTCAGTGGGGCAGCAAATTGTGATATTCAAGTTCACATTGTCAAATTCCAGTACATAAGACCTTCTCACCGGAGCTCGAAACTCTTGGGTGTATTAATTTTATGATTGACATGAGAGGAATCTCTTGGAGTGTTTTCGAAAACGCATTGTCACGCTTTCATCGCATTGGCTACACTTTCTTTGGCGGGGGACCATCATGGAAGCCTCAGGCAGGACGGTCTCCGCACGTGCCACCTTTGACCGACAGCAACAACGGGGAGTTGTTTCTTAATTTCCAACTGCCGCGGCCGCTTGTTCGAGAGAAGACTCCTTTTGGTTCGATCTTAGGTTCGGAGATTTCTCCTGGATTTTCGAAAGCGCGAACAGCTTAGTCCCAGCACGTACAGCTTTTCAGGCTTATCTTCCGGAAGCTTCGATCGTCGCAACCAAAAAGTTTTGGGTCTTGCGGGGAAACAATTTACGTGGTAAACTCGACTCCATAACTGTTCATTGTTCCGCTGAGCCACAGCTTACCTTTGGTCACTTTCTAGTCCATTGAATCTCAGTTGTCTGTCTTATAGATTCTAGCCAATCCACACCGGCTTCAGGATGTCTACTGCCATCGTACAAGCCGACGATCTCATGGAGCCTTCGCTCCAGTCGATTGTCAGCCAGGATACCCTCCGCTGGATCTTCGTTGGTGGTAAAGGAGGTGTCGGTAAAACAACTACCTCCTGTTCTCTTGCGATTCAACTGGCCAAAGCTCGCAAATCGGTTTTGCTCATCTCGACCGACCCCGCACATAACCTCAGTGACGCCTTTGGGCAAAAGTTTGGAAAGGAAGCCCGACTAGTCGATGGGTACAACAACCTCAGCGCTATGGAGATTGACCCCAATGGCAGCATTCAGGACCTGCTGGCCAGCGGCGAAGGGCAGGGCGACGACCCTATGGCTGGATTGGGCGTTGGGAACATGATGCAGGATCTGGCTTTCAGCGTAGGTTTTTCAAGGACTGCCGAGTGCTCATGGTGTGCCGCGACTAATCAACATAGATTCCCGGTGTTGATGAAGCCATGTCCTTTGCGGAAGTCCTGAAGCAAGTCAAATCTTTGTCGTATGAGGTTATTGTTTTTGACACCGCCCCCACCGGCCACACCCTGCGTTTCCTTCAATTTCCCACCGTGCTTGAAAAGGCTCTTGCAAAGCTTTCGCAGTTATCATCTCAATTCGGGCCCATGTTGAACTCCATCCTTGGCTCCCGCGGTGGTCTGCCGGGTGGTCAGAACATTGACGAGCTTTTACAGAAGATGGAGTCTCTCAGAGAGACCATCAGCGAAGTCAACACTCAATTCAAGAACCCGGACATGACCACCTTTGTGTGTGTCTGTATCGCTGAATTCTTGTCTTTGTATGAGACCGAACGTATGATCCAGGAGCTGACAAGCTACAACATTGACACACACGCCATTGTCGTCAATCAGCTTTTGTTCCCCAAGCAGGGTAGTGAGTGTGAACAGTGCAATGCACGGAGGAAGATGCAGAAAAAGTACCTGGAACAGATTGAAGAACTCTATGAAGATTTCAATGTTGTCCGGATGCCGCTGTTGGTTGAAGAAGTCAGAGGAAAGGAGAAACTTGAAAAGTCAGTTTTTGTTGAAACTCACCAGACAGAAAATAACCTCAGTACTAACTATCTGCAGATTCAGCGACATGCTCATTCACCCATATGTACCCCCACAGTAAAATTGCTCTGTGGCAATGTGCAATAGTTTCACCCGGATTGTCGCACCCGAAGAAGATGTGGAACGATATTCGACAAGGCTTTCTCGGTACAGGAGGATTCGCTATCTACTACGAAGCACTTTATTACGGAATAGCCGCATGTTTGTTATGAAGGTCGTCAGGTCGGGGATGGCACAGATAAATATGCAAGGTGAGGTTTTCAGCGAATTGTTATTATTGGGATGAGTTATGAGAAAGAATAGACAGTAATGCACGAAGCGTTTCATGCTTGTATGGCCATGTCGATCCTCAATATTATCTACACTTTGGACATCAATGCTTAAAGGAATTTGGTTATCATTTATTTTTCTCCCTTTCTTTTCCTTCCGTTGCATTCGTGCCGTCCGGCCATCAACGATCAACCATCATCTTGTTCGCCTCACTCCCGCCTTCTTCAGGCTCGAAGAGCTTATCACAACTTACAAATGTGGGCCTTTAAAAAGCTTTATTTAGGTTACCGCTCAAGCACCGTTCGCGGATGAGCAGATCGATAGGCCGAAGTCTCGATTGCGCCTATGCATGGCCTTCTCCACTTGCAGCCTGTCCCGCTCAGAAGCAACTGTGTGCTCTGGACTTTGGAGATGACCTCAAATGCCTCATTCTTATCCGGGTCAGGCCTATCCATTTCCGAAATGCGGCTTCTCTGAAAGATGACTGTTTATGAGCGCGTTAAGACTATCGAGTAAGGAATACACCGCAACGAGCCATGCCCATGTCAAGTGCACTATGCTTGTCACCCCTGGTTCCCTGGTACTTTAAGAGCAAAATCAGTGAAAGGACGCGAGCTTGTTGGACGACTGGGTACACCGGGCAAGAGGCTTGCCCATTGCCCACCAGCCAAATGAAGGGCTGACATGCGTTTTCTAACAATAGCCCTTTCACAAATGCCAAACAGCTAGATGGGTCTGAATCTGTTATACTGCAGGATATCTATTGCATCCGGAGCACGAGAACAATAATCTCCGCCGCCTCACCCTGTGGCATTTCGCTTGATGGCCCAGGCAGCTCAGAGCAAACGACGTTCAACCCGACAAGGCTGGCCCTGCTACGACAGTCCACGTCAATAGCATTATAGACGTTTGCTCGCATGTGGACCTTCCTGGTGAACAGGGGTTAGCGGGTCCCCGGCCAGATGTCGTAAATTCTTAAAGCGAACAATCCAGTCAAAGCCAAGGGAGCAAGTTAGCCCTTATCCAAGATAAGTATCAACATTTTCCACGTGGGTCTCGAAGATAGACTGAGAACTTGTAAGTCTGCAAGCATGTCGTACTCTATCTGAAGATCGAGAGAAATCTTGACCGCTACCTACCTACCTTAGGGTTACATGGTAGGAATGTCCCTTTCTCAATGGATCCACACCGTTTGCCCCGAGAGGCCTAGAATGAAGCTTTCTCCTAGCCATGGACTTCGGCGGGCATAATGTCCAGATCCGTGATTGGGGTCCACGTCTTAATTTCGCACTTGGTTCATATGCAATCACGGAAATATATTTGCCTGAAAAAAATTCGAATGTCACAGAGACAGAATAATTTTCAAATGTAGTGGATTCCACTGAGTGTGCACGAAAGCTTTGGATACTGCTTGTGTTTCCTGCAGGTGTCATTCTATTGTCAGGGCCTTTTCGGCTTGCCATGCATGAATCCCTGGACCGTAATAATCTCGTCCTGGTCTAATGGATCTACAGAACCTGCAGACGGTCACAGACACGACCCTTGAACGTTCGATCAGTCCATGGAGCCACGGCATTATACTAGAAAACAGACCGACTTTGGTGGTGCGTATTCCCTGCAGACTTGGCAAGGAATTCAGACGAACAGGAGCGAAAGCCTAGGCGTTATAACCCCGGAACTAGTGGCGTTACTGGAGGAGTACTCTATTTGCGGATGGCGATGAGTCAAGCCTCACTTTTCCCGGCGAAAGGGGTTGGATAAAAGAGTGAGGCGGTTTCCCGAAATCCGACATCAGCAGCATGCGAAGTGGCCTCTCAGCCATATTCCTTTCGTTCGAAAACCCACGATGGTTTTCTTAGCTGCGTAAGTGCGATCTAGCCTAGGGTTTCTCCCTTTGGCTAATCGTCCTCCCCTTAGTGATCGCTGCGACTGGCTAGTATACAATTTCTCGGCGTTTTCGTGGTTTAAGTGATATATACACAGTACAAAACGCTAGGCCTCTCATACACTTTCTACTTAGTATCCCTTGCATGCCGGACACTATGTTGGATGCTTATAACCCTAAGTACCTCGTAGAGACTCGCAGTCATCGTTATCACCCTCGCAGACTACTCAACCCAACCCCCATCAACCCTACTTACACATATACCAGTCTCCCAAAGACAAGAAACATATCGATGAGGATGTCTCAAGTTCAACAATACTGGCTACCAGGATACGGTCTATCACGACACATTGTCCTCGGACATATACAATACTTCCTAGGGCCATCAGCATCAGTCAGACCATACACATACCAGGTATAATCACCACGACCACTCCAACACAAGCTATGAGACAACGGGCCTAACAGCTGAGTCTGCCACCAAAAGGGACGCGAAGGCTATCTGATAGTCGGTGTACCTCTAACGAGGGTCTGTGTCCCTTCTCCGGGCTTTGATCGCGTGACCACATCACTGACATTTCGACCAGGAACAAATCGACGATCTTGCGGCCATGTCACGAGAGTATGAGCGGCAAGAGACCCTTCGGATGGCGGGCGACGAAGCATCCACCAGCCATGCTGAGCCCTATATCAATGAGATCGTGCCCGTTCGAGCTTCGGGGCCGCGCAGACGTCCGTTCGACTACGAAACTCGACGTGGGCGGTAATCACCTAAAGAACAACCAATATAGATAAAAAAGAAAGTCTCCGGTTATGTCATGCGAGAGATATCCTTGATTTGTTTTGTTAAGCGTCTTGGTCTGCGCCTCCTCGCTTTTAATGAATTTAGAATGATTGTTTGCATTTTTGATATTCACATCATACATACATCTGTCAGAATAGCCATGTCTCTCTGTGTCTCTAACGTTGAGATGAAACAGAGGAAGAGACAGGATGCTAATCTTCATCGTTCATACAGTCCGCTTTTCCTCTGTCCAACCTTTTTACGTCAATCAAAAGCATGCTCACATGTCTCTCCTGCTGCATTCAGCTCTGTAGCTTAGATCTAGATAATAATATCCCCCTCTTGTTAGGTGCGTTCGCCCTAACTACGTCGTCATATGTTCTAGTTGACTACTAGGAGTAGTTAGGGCTTCTGCTACCGAGCCCCTCGATATGAAGCTCTAAGACGTATTCTTGACCACGGGGGGAATGTCGAGATAGAGAATTGTATAGATAGATGGATTAAGTAAAACCACCGGGTTATAATTCCACTCATCTCTATAGATCATTCGTAACAGCATAGACCAATCACAGGGAAGCAGGTTTTGTATCATAGGAACAAATAGAAAAGGGGATCAGTCCGTTGCCCTCCCAATCCGCAAAAGAAGAAGAAATACTGTACTGCTCTTCCTTTCTTTCCCTCTTTCTTTTTGAGTGTCCCTTTTTTTTTTCTCTGTCGCTTCTCTCCTTCTCTCCTTTTCGCTTGTTTAAGCTCTCCCAGCAATGTAAGACTTAATCGATATTCTTTCAATCGAAATATTTTCTGAACAAAGGTTCACGACAGGAGGTGCCAACCAACTAGATCGGTGCAAGAGATTAAAAGACAATTGGAAAAGAAAGAGAACATGAAAAGTGGACCACCTGAACGCCAGCCTGATGCCACTCTGCTTGGTCCCATCACTCAAGAAGCCCGCAATCCGCGGGGGAATACTAAGCATAAACAGAACCAAAAAGAGAACGGTAAAAGACGAATTCTTGTTTTATAGCATAATGTGTGTTTATTTTGCGACGGCCGAGCTGGATTAGTACCGAAGTTAGTTGCCTGGTCAAACTAGGTAGAGTTTTGATGCAGAAAGTTTCAACGAACCTCAAAACTTGTGTCCGGAAGAATGCGCCCTTGGTCTTCTCAATAACCTGCTGGTACACCGACTGAGGGGGGTGGTTCATAATCACTGTGCCCTCCTTATAGTCGATCTTGGCATCGACTCTGGTGTCGCGGATGAGGTTGACAATCCACTTCTCACCCTCATCCTGGTTCAGGCCGAGACGAGTGGAAAGATCCCTGTATCACGTTAGTTCCATTTCTATCCACCAAAATTGCAATATTCGTTCTCAGTTACATACTTGATATCAATCCGTTGGTGGATCTTGCAATAGCTCTCAGAGATAAGGTGACGGGCAGCCTCGACGAAAGCATCGGCCGCAGAGACAAGGAAGAAGTCGCTCCGCAACACATCCTCGGCCTCACCCAGCTTCTTCTGGGCTTCCTCGAAATCGAAGTCGATGTACAAGGCCTTAACAAAGTCGGTGATGGGGTCGGAGTATTCGTAGCCCTCCTGGCGGACAACCCGGATGAGGTCCTTCAGCTGCTTCTGATAGAGACTGCTGTTCTTGTGTGCACGGCCGCGGTTGGTGATAACAGCGGCAGCAAGGTACCGCAGGATCCAAGGGCAGTGGGTCTGAATGGTGTTGATGTAGGCAGGGGAAAAGAAAAGGTCGGTCAGGACATCGCGGGCGGGGTCATAGTTGAAGAAGGGGAAAAGAGACCAGTGGATCAACCAGGAGCGGTTCTGGAGCTGACCCAATGGGTTGTTGAATAGGCGGGTTTCGATCGACTCCTTAACCTTCTGGACCTCCTCCATGGCAGCCTCCCAGCTGGTGGTCAAAATCTCCGAGGCAAGCTTACCCCATGTGGCCGAGGCAACCTTGTCGTTGTCGGTGGAAAGAACACGGAATTGGTACAGCAGCTCGGCAGCGTTACCGTAGCTACCGCAGCTGTACTGGAAGCGGCCATAGTCGAAAAGGCTGTTGACCATCTCGGTGGTAACGCCGTGCTGTTCCTCGAGGAACTTCAAGTTGGCAACCTTGTCACTTCGCAGGTTACCGACGACATCCTCATCCTGAAGCAATTCGGTGATCTTGGCGCTCTCCTCCTGGTAGTGTTGCAACTTAGCGAGAACCTCCTCCCTCTTCTTGACAAACTCATCGGGAATGGTATCGGAGTTGTTGATTTCCTGCCACAGGTTGGCGACATAGTCGGTCATGTTGGTGTGTTTAAGCAGCTCATATTTCGCCCGCACGGTCTCCTTATCATCATCCTGGCCGGAGCTAAATTCGAGAAGAGGGAAAACAAGATGGCGGTCGAGGAAGGGGATCAACTTGGGTAGCAAATCATATTGGCTGGCGATCTCTTCAGCGGTCTTGGGGGGGTGAGCGGCGGCACCGCTGAGTAAAGTCTCTGCGGAAGGGGGAATGTTGGCTGCCATGGTGAACGACTGACGACGGCGGCAGCGTCTCGAGGGAAGATAAGGAGGAAAGGGGGAAGAGGGCGTGGACCGGGGAAGCAGCGAGACGGTGCGATCTCTGACTGAAGTCAGTGTGCGGCGGTCTTCTGGTCTTTTGCGCTGGCGAAAATGTGGGCGGGAGGGCTGGCGGTCGCGCTAGGCCCAGTTGGGGCTAGCGCGCAGTCTCCGCGCAAGAAATCGCTTTTCATGCAAAGATCGGAAGACACTCGTTCCTCTCTTACAGCTGCTGTTGCCGCGTCGTGCTATTCCCATCAACCTTGGGTGATTCGGTGTTGGGTTGTCTGTCTCGGATTCAACGCCTTGGGAACGTCTCCTGTTGCTCTTCCCTTCCATAGATCTCTCCTGGACCGATGGCGTCTCTCCTGCAGGCCCGTCCCGTCTGCTCGGCCGTTCGCAAGCAGTCGACGGTTCTACCTACCTATCTTCAAAATGCTTCGCAGTCCATTGCTTCTACTTCAAGGACATGTAGCTCATTCTCTACACTATCTTCATCCTCTAGATTGATCAATTCTCGTAAGTAGTACAAGGCATCCGCCGATTCCATGCCTGGTCCGGCCGAGGACAAGCTATCCTATCATAAAAGGAAGAAAAGAGAGGCACCTGGGCGTGGACAAGGAGAACCTTCAGAGGAAAGCTAACTGATCCGCTTCAGAACATCCCCTCCGGTCCCTCCAACGCTTCAGTCCCCGCTCCGCAGCCCCTACACAGCAATGCCGGACCTTCCTGGTACAATTAAACCGCCAGTCCCAGACCCTGAAAGAGAACACCCCTTCGACCACTACACCCCTCCCATCATCGGCCAATTTGCAACTCACAAATCTTCCTTACTTCATTCGTCGTACTGCCTCGAACCAACTTCCAGTTTACCTGGTCACCAAGGCCGGTGGTACCAAGCAGCAGACTAAGATACAGAAAACCGAAGGTGACCTGGATGCTTTAAGGAACGACCTTGCACAGTATCTGGGTCTTGAATCCGGCGAGCCTCGCTCTCCCAAGAGTTCAGACATCACAATCAACCGTCTTAATGGACACATCATTGTCAAGGTACGCTTTTGCCATGTGTCCCCTAACAGGAGCATCGTATGATGCTAACATATGCACGCTGCAGGGCTGGCGAAAGCCTGAGATTCAGAAATTCCTTTTGGAGCGTAATTTTTAGAAGATTGAAGATCAAAAAAAAGTCCTGGATATGAGTAATTTGCATGTTCCTCTCCATTGTCCTCCACTATCCGCTCGATCAACGACTTCCCTATCCATCTTCCAGGCAAAAGTTTGAACCGGAAGGTTATATGTCGAATCCGCCACAGGGCATCCGGACACTCAAGTCTGCCGAAATCAATCATGTACAAGTGGAAAGTAGACTGGAGAGGTTACCGGCAGCAGACATCTGACTGAGAAGGTCTTTGCTCACCATCGGCGGAGGATGGTCCCATTAACTTTCTACTGCACCCCTTTCCTTTTTTGCTCTTATCTAGCTTTATTTGCTTTGTATTATTCTCCGTGCTGGGTGTTCTGTCGCATTTTCAGTTTTGTTCGTGTCGTCGGAAGTTCGGCTTGTGTTCTGGCATGTTTTTGCCAATTTCTCACTTCCTGATCTCACCTCTCCATCTGCTTCGTGCCACTCTTCTGTATCTTTGTACATTTCAATGACTTCACGGTTGCTTTTGCGCTAAGTCTGTGGCTAATGTCGACGAGTGGCTGGGTTCTCGTGGGCAGAGTATAGCATGCGCAAACAGAATAATTAGGTCTAGGCAGGAAATATGAATATGTCTCGATAGACACTAGTGTGGCATCTTTATGTAACACATTTGGAGAAACCTGCACTTGCGGCATCATGCCCAAACGAGGGCATTTACAAAGTTCGCCATCCGTTGTCCGAACAATCTTTTTACACCAAAACAGACGATGAAGAGTCCGATCCGTACGCGGGACCCGAGGACCAAGTAGACCAAAACGAGAACAGGTAGGGGATAATGACCATGAAGTAAATTTACCCATTGAGACATCATGCATGATCTTTCGCCCGAGGGTATTGAGCATTGTACAGCGATAAGCAAAGATACACAAATCAAAAGGTCACGCCTCACGTATCTTCCCACCGGCGCCAGACAAAATCACAAGAATAAATGGTTTACTCAATAGAAGACATGACAGAAGTAAACATCAAGATGGCATATTGAAAGTGATGCTAGACATTCACCGACGCTATAAATAACCAAAAGAAAAACCAACCGCACACATCCTATCTAAGACCAGGTCATTCTGCCAGTCGCGCGTATGTTATCAGTTGCCGCACGACGCCGGGATCCACATTGTGCATGAGTAACGCCCCGAGTAAGCTCTCTTTCTTTGGGATTATCCCAGACGGGAACCGCAACGCCGAGTTTGAGTCGGCATGTTTAGACTTCTCGGCCAGTCTCCGGAGAATGCCTAACCCACGGTTAATGATGGAACTATACGCAGCAGCTTCCGCTTCAGCCTGTCCTCTTGCAGCATGTGATTGGCGGGGATTAGTGTTGGTTGGAGGAACACGTTCGGTACTCAGGAGGCAGGAAAGTCGGAGGAGATGAATGGCAAATCCGTCAACCGACTCAAGCCATGATTTTGCAAGGTTACCGTCCGCAAACCCGGAAAGGATGTCGGCGGCCAACAAGCCCTGCATGAGGAAGACTTTACGAGCATCTGCTATGGCTAACGGTTTCCGAGGCTGGTCGGGAACCGGGCAGATAGCAAGGCCGAAGGAACGGGTAAGCAATTCGTGCTGAGGGATGCCACTTCCGTCTCCGGAGAAGATTGCCTTGAAAAACGTCCGATTGGGCTCATCGCGCGCCAAAAGCTTGGCTAAGCTGTCTACCGCTGCCGGGGTATACTTATGGACGGAAGCACTGTAGGCGGTGAACATGACGCCATCCGGTCCCTGACTCGGTCCAGGGAATGGGGCAAATGACAGGAGAAAATGTAGGAGAGAGAGAGCTTCTTCTTTGCTCGGCAGTTGAATGGTGTGGGCCAGGTTACTCAGATAAATGACTGTGTCCTTCATGAAATCGAGGGTATTCTGATTATTTCGTAAAAGCATGTTTCGAGTTCCCAAATAGCGGATGATAGTGGAGATGAATTGCACGACCGGTGGCGTTGAAAGTACCCCAAAGTTCGATTCGGTAAATGAAAAGTTGCGCAGTATCGTTGTGATACAGATGAGTCTATCAACGGCTCGGTCTAGATCATAATCGAGGCTTCCAAATTCGGGAATATCAGCCAAGGATGTCCACTCTGACTGACAACCCCGGGTAACCTCCTCGTACGTTGGAAGAAGCATGACATCCGACACCTCAGCAGCATGCTCAGCAAGGAAGTCGGCTTGGTCTTCTGCACACTCAACCAAGCTGTCAACCAAATCCTCGCAGTTGTCCAGTGATATTTGAATTGCCGGTTCACAGGATATGGTTGCAAGTGTGTCTAAAGCCAAACGCATCTCCGCGTGAATCCCTGACTTGATACCCATTGTGAGAGCGTGTATATCAATTACGCCAAGTTCGGAGAATGCGGGAACGTTAGGCTTGAATCTCGCGATTTCTTCACTTAGTTGATAAATTTCATCCACTGCGACTGGGCCATGAAGGTTACTTTCTGGCAAGACCATAGGCTTGAAAGGGTCCTCGATCGGATGCTTCAGAGGCTGATCAGGATTCTGATCAAACTGCTCGGACACCTTGCCGGACACTGAACCTGGATCTTTGGCAGATGGTGCTGGCGACTGGCCGGATTGTTGCCCAGTAGAGTCGTGAGGTGTTGCCGGGGGTTGAGATTGGCGAGAGACGCTGAGTCTGTGCTGCTGCTGCTGCTGCTGTTGTTGTTGTTGCTGCTGCTGCTTATTTGGCACCTTCACTGGCGTAGGAGTAGCAAACCCATTAGGCACATTGCTAGGCATATTGTTTGGTACAGGTGCATTACTCGGAGACGGCTGTCCAAGTTGCTGCGAAGCCTCGAAATTTTGATTTGGTTTGACAGATGGCGACTGGAACTGCATACCTGAGGGATCACTAGGTTGTCGTGACAGCGAACTTTGCTGCATCTGATCCGCAAACTGTTTCTGCTGCGTGCTCAGGAAAGCTTGCTCGTAGGCAGCAAGGTTCCGCTGGTAGTGCTCTCGAATTTCCTGTACGGCCATCGGAAACTGCATTGGGGGATATTGAAGCTGCTGAGCTATTACCGGCCACATGTTCGTGGCGTTGATCTTCTTTGATCCACCCAGCTTCATAACGGTAGCATAAAGTTGCACTAAATTAATTGGGCGCCCACAGACAATGGGATTCGGATCCAGGGGTAGATTCCGTGACATCATGAATTTCTGTAACGACCTCATAAAACCTTCCGGATTGGGAGGTTTTGACATCGTCTGTTGCATCTGTCTGATGGCCGCCATTTGCTGAGGGTTGGCCATGGCATTCATGCCAGCCGCCACGGGACGTCCAGCCAGAGCGGGGTTCATATTTATCGGACGGCCTTGATTTTGCATTTGAATGGCGTGTATTCGCTGTTGTTGTTGCTGTTGTTGGGCAGCCATTGCCTGGTATCCCTGTGGCATGCCACTGAAGTGCGCTTGCATGGGTGCTTGGACACCGGCGGATGTCATAGCGGTTCCAGGCGAAAACTGCCCTCCCATACCCTGGGGGAATGGTTGGCCAGGAATGAACGAGCTATTCTGCGGGGTGTTTACTCTGCTTGGATGATCCGGCTGCGATGGCGATACGTGGGGCCCAACATGAGGACCAGCGGGAGAGAATGGACTGGGCGACGCTGTTCCCATTCTTTGCACACCATGCTGGTCGAAGTCCTGGATAATCGGTGACTGACTAACATTTGGCGAGGTCCCTTGTTGAAGATGTTGGTACTGAGTAGGATGCGGGGCGAATTGTGTAGCGCCATTTGTCGGTCCTTGGTACCCTGGGAAAGGCACCTGATGAGGCGTCTGCGATCGCGAGGCAGCTAGTCCACCTGGTGCCTGCCGGGGTGACATTGACATGCCATCCTCGGGACGTGGTCGCTTGGACGGGATCACCTGGTTAGGATTGTGGAAACTGGGAGATGCATTTCGCGGCACGCCATTGAACATGCGCTGGAATTGGTTAGGATCGGGAGTGGGAGATGCATGGAGGAAGGCGGTGGAAGGATCTATAGTCGCCTGGTGAAAGGCACCATTATCATGGTTGGGGAGGTTCGAGGCGTCGGCTAGCCAGGCATTCATGTCGTGTGGTTTTACCAACCCATCTGCAAGGTGAAGGCTGTCAGATATATGACACAGAGAGTGGAGTATGGTTTCAATCATCAATAAGCATCGACAATAAATGCGATATTAAAGCCATCATAGTTCCGGATAGGAAGATGATTAGCAGAAAATCGATCAATCATCGTTTGAGGGTTCTAGACGCGTCAAGCCGAAGTGTGAGGCAAGTCGCGCCTTGGTCTGCGACACGAACACACTACAGTCTGGACCGACATGGAAGTGAAGCAGAGGGCGAAAAGGGTAAGCTGGGGTAGGCAGCTGTTTCTTTTTAGGCAAAGGAACAGCAATGATGTACATACCGACAAGGCTGGACAACTAAAATGCCGACTCACAAGCGGATGATGGAAAGCCGGTCCCGAAATGGTAGCGGTTGCAAGGCCTGAGAGAGGTTGCGAGGATCTGAGGTCACGGGACCATGGGCGCCGCAGGCAGAAAAAAGTATCTGGTGTAATAACGGACTGACGAGCTGGGGACAGAAACCATTAGCAAATAGCAGGAGGGGAGCTTCTAGACCAATACAAGAGTGTACAATAAAATAAAATAGAATAAGAATAAAAATAAAAATTATGGGTAAGCCATCAAACAATCAGAAGCTATCATTTGTAGCGTGCGTGATAGACCCGAGGAATGGAGAGACGGGTAAGCAGTGCGTGGCCACAGTTGGTGCAGCGTGTGATAGGCAAAAAGAAGGTAAACCCAATAACTGAAGACAAGCGGGGGGGAAGGAATGACATGACAGGCGTACCTGAATAATGGCTGCAATAGTCTGTAGGGCCGTGTTAAATGTTGTATTTTAATTTAGATTTTTTTTTTGGTTTAATTTTAATTCCCCTACTGTCTTGGGGAGGAAAGGGAGATCACTTGGAAGAAAGAAAAAGTGGAGGCACGGGGTAGAAAGGCAGGAATGGAGACGGGCGTGGAGAGAGGAACGGACGCCTCAGGAGTCAAAAGACACTAAGGATAAGAAACGGGATAAGACACAGAAAGGGAGGGTACATACGAAAACTGGCGTATGACTTTCCAGTAAGTTATTTTACCAGTGGGCAGCAGAACACAAGAGAAGTCTCAGGCAGTCATCAGCAGTCGGTTAGCATTGGCGGTAAAAGGGGAAAGGAGAGGGAAAGCAGTAGGCGGAAAGTGGCGGCAGGACGAAAGAGGCTGGAGCTTAGGTAACACCCATGGTGGATCGGTGGGCATCCGACTATCCCCCTTTCGGACATATTGGTCAACCTCAGGTTTGTGCCATGAGCATTTTACTTCGTCCAACTGATTTAGAGCATTCATCCTGAAGAGCTTGGTCAGGTCTCTCACTCTCTCTCTCATTCCCCCAAAGAGAACCTCTAGCGTTCTTTCATGCTGAGAACTTGTCGGTCGCTGGAAGACTCGGTAGTAGTGATTTGACTGGTCAAGATCAACCACTACCACATTGATAGTACGGCCTTGATGCGACTTGCTGGTTTGTCCAAGAAAGTAACCACTCGAGCATGTCTGTAACCTGTCAAAACAAACAATGACGGTAATCTGTTGAGTAGTTTTATAAATATTATAATATTTTGGTTTCTGCTGGCTTGGGGAGCCACCGAATCCTCAATTGTCTGGGTGGATGCGTATGTGGGTATCGAAATAGACAGTGTGTTGGGGTAAGAAAGCCTGCGTCGGGCAGGATCTTGGAGATGGGCTGTCCAGGAGAACCTGGGGACGAGGGAGCGTTAGATGGATGGAAGATGGGTAAAAGCAGAACAAAAGAAAAATATCATCATGACAAGGAAATAGACGACGAGGGCACCTGATTCCCTTTTAACAGTATTCCATCAGCTACTCCGTGCTAAGCCCACCCATTAAATCCGCCCGGTCTGAGTAGTCAATGTACGAATGGATATGTTACCGACGGCACTCATTATCTGCCAGCCCTTGCACGCATCCGTTTAAAATATGTATTAATCATGTTTTAGGTCTCTTTCTCTGTCTCTCTCTTTTTCCGTTTTGGACGGGGCCGTTCATTGTCCCACCTGCCACATTTTTACGGTTCTCCACTAGTTACAATGGTATTTGCTTGGTAATAGATGATGGACGTGAATCGGGACCGTTGGTGTGTGGACTCCGGGCTCTTGCGACAGTAAACCAACACCATGGTTACGGGGGCACTACAACTAGTTCGATTACGATCTGGACACGATCTCTGTGGTTTAGAGAAAGGCCAATGTTCAGTCGATCCTTTGAATCCAAATAATTAGAGTGTCGAGAAGAGTAAAACACATTTCAAAATACTCCGACAGAGTCTCTTCCTTGCCATATATATATCTCCTCAAACCACATGGACACCCGCCCATGCACACTCGAAAGCGGGATAGCATTGGCATAACAGCACACCACGTAGGAACTATAATATAATCAATGTTGTCCGATCGGAGTGAACTGTTCTTACATGGGGCAACTATATATAATTATCTAAATTATAACACGAGTGTTAATGACTGGCTGCGTCTTGTATAGCACCAAGTCAAGGTAATTGTTAATGAGAAACTGGGGCTATTTCCACCCAAGAAAAAGAACAACGCAACACTGTTATTTGACATTCGATTTGATTCTCACAGATGCGTTGCCACATTCGGGCATGAGACAGTTGACCGTCGCTATACTAGTAGCGCTATTGGGGCCGAGCTCCCATCCACGTGACCGCAACCGTAAGCTACCGTCGAGCCAGTTTGGCTATGATCAAAGCAAAAGCTCCGATTCTCTCAACACCACCCGACGTTAGATCTGCCGCTCTGATTTCTCAGCCACCCTCCATAGTCCCTATAATCGAATCCTCTACGTTACCGCTTCTCACCCGTGTCAAATATCCACCATGGGAGACGTCGCCGTGGAGAATCCGGCGAACAACGTCACGCTTCATACCAAGCCGGCACCATTGGACACCATCCCCAACATAGACTCCATCGAAGGCACAGGGACCGATGGAGGTGACGAATATGCTACTTTGAAGAAACTCCAGAGACATTTAGAGTATGTTGGAAACGGAAAACCTCCATGCTCTGTACTGACACTTAATAGATACATCCAGCTACAGGAGGAGTACATCAAGGATGAGCAAAGGCAAGCTAGTATTATCTCCTTCCACCACAGCGGCGGTATTATTAACATCCATCCTCAACAATAGGAGCTTGAAAAGAGAGCTCGTTCGTGCACAGGAGGAAATTAAACGGATACAAAGTGTTCCCTTGGTCATAGGCCAGTTCATGGAGGCAATCGACCAAAAGTACGGGCCTAACATGCACTTGATAGAGGGGTTTGCTAATGGAGGCTGTCCAGTACCGGAATCGTGCAATCGTCAACTGGTTCGAATTATGTCGTCCGGATTCTTTCCACGCTCGATCGCGAGAAGCTCAAACCATCGTCGTCGGTCGCTCTTCATCGCCACTCGAACGCCCTCGTTGATATCTTACCTCCAGAGGCCGATTCCTCCATCGCTATGCTAGGCGAAAATGAGAAACCGGACGTCACATATGCCGATGTTGGTGGACTTGACATGCAGAAGCAGGAAATCCGCGAGGCGGTGGAATTGCCATTGACGCACTTCGACCTGTACAGACAAATCGGTGGGTCGATAGGTTTAAATGAGTTGGCAATTGTGCAGTGTTGCTTACTATCGCAGGTATCGATCCTCCTCGTGGTGTCCTGCTCTACGGCCCTCCTGGAACAGGTAAGACTATGCTGGTCAAAGCAGTGGCGAATAGCACAACTGCCAGCTTCATTCGAGTGAACGGTTCCGAATTTGTTCAGAAGTATCTGGGTGAAGGTCCTCGCATGGTCCGTGATGTGTTTAGGATGGCCCGGGAGAATGCCCCCGCTATCATCTTCATCGATGAAATCGACGCCATTGCCACCAAGCGTTTTGACGCTCAAACTGGTGCTGATCGTGAGGTCCAACGTATTCTTCTGGAACTCCTCAACCAAATGGATGGCTTCGAGCAATCGAGCAATGTCAAGGTCATTATGGCTACCAACCGGGCCGATACTCTGGATCCGGCTCTGCTGCGTCCAGGTCGTCTGGACCGAAAGATTGAGTTTCCCTCTCTTCGTGATCGGCGAGAGCGTCGGTTGATTTTTACCACTATCGCGTCTAAGATGTCCTTGTCCCCCGAGGTCGACCTTGACTCGCTGATTGTGCGTAATGAACCTTTGTCTGGTGCCGTCATTGCTGCTATCATGCAGGAGGCTGGTCTACGAGCTGTGCGGAAGAATCGGTACAACATTATCCAATCGGACCTTGAGGATGCTTATGCTGCCCAAGTGAAGACCGGACAAGAAGCGGACAGGTATGTTATATTAATCCGTCACGGTGCCCCGTTTATTATTATATCTAACAACCTATCTGCAGGCTTGAATTCTACCGGTAAATGGGTGTATTTATTTTTGGTAGTAATTAATGAGCTAGAAATACCGGGTAACGTGACGAAAGGGTAGTCATGAGTTGTAACGTGAAACTTCAGGCTCTTATCACATATGTAAGAAAATGATTGATGTGTTTTAAGGTAATACGTGTAAATGACTCGATCGAATGAGGGTATCTCTCGTACAGTACGTAGTCTCATTTTTCCACTGTTTCGGCTGCCTATCGGGGTCGGCAGTGCCGCTCCACTTGTGATTGTTCAGTTACTTGTACATGTAGTACAGAGTAGGAGTACCTACCAGTCCTGCCAAGATTACAGTCAGATAGGCGGCGATCCTTAGGCACCTGCAGTGGTATAGATTGCGCATACCGTCATTTAGTTAAGGAACGTATCTCACTAACTTATCAGCCTAGCGCCCGAGGCGGTCTTACATCATCTCCCGGCGGCAATCGATCCACAATTTGGGTCAGTGATAAGAGAAACAATGGGGCGTGAGTTGGGTCGAACCAGAAAGATAGAGAGAGAGAGAGAGAGAGATAATATTCTTATTTTATAATGGAAGGTATATATACATATAGATAGAAACACACGAGAATGAAGTGTTCCTGGCGGTATTGTACACAGTCAAGATTCTTGTACCTTGGAGATCAAGTGATGAGACACCCGTGATGCAGGATCTCCACTTCCATCCAATGACGCATCGACTGCCCCCATGATTGGTTGGCACGCAGGTCGCTCCGCAACCGGTCCGCATCACCTCACTTCCCCCAGACCTGAAGGTACCTCTCCCGTCCTCCTCTCCCTCCCCATCCTATCCCTTTCCAGACCCTGGTTGTATTCCATCATTCCTACCGTCCCATATCAGTAGAGTTATCGCTAGTGTTCTTCTGAGTCCGTTTGTTGAGGTGTTGCTTTTGTTGTCGCCGTTGTCGCCCATCATGAAGTCGACCTTGGTTGCAGCCTCTGTGCTGTTGGGCTGTGCTACCGCCGAGGTTCACAAGCTGAAGCTCAACAAGGTGCCCGTGTCCGAGCAATTTGTGAGTAGAACTCTCCATTCTGGCGATGCAAATATTCCTCCACACTTCTGAAAGCTTGTCGGGACGAACCTCTAACTAAATCGGACCCAGAGTATGCACAACATCGATACTCATGTGCAGGCGCTTGGCCAGAAGTACATGGGAATCCGTCCCAGCATCAAGCAAGATCTCCTCAAGGAGAACCCTATCAATGATATGGGACGTCATGATGTCCTTGTTGACAACTTCCTGAATGCACAATGTATGAAACCCTAGTAGTACTACTTGCGGGGGAGCTCCTGCTTACACATAGATCCCCCAAAGACTTCTCCGAAATCGAAATCGGTACTCCTCCCCAGAAGTTCAAGGTGGTCCTTGACACTGGCAGCTCCAACCTATGGGTGCCCTCCTCGGAGTGTGGCTCTATCGCCTGCTACTTGCATAACAAGTATGACTCATCTTCGTCGTCCACGTACCAGAAGAATGGCAGCGAATTTGCCATCAAGTACGGCTCCGGTAGCCTGAGTGGATTTGTTTCTCAGGATACCCTCAAGATCGGTGACCTGAAGGTGAAGGATCAGCTGTTCGCCGAGGCGACCAGTGAGCCCGGCCTTGCTTTTGCCTTTGGCCGCTTTGATGGTATCCTCGGGTTGGGATTTGACACCATTTCTGTCAATAAGATCCCTCCCCCCTTCTATAGCATGCTCGACCAGGGCCTCCTCGACGAGCCAGTCTTTGCTTTCTACCTTGGAGACACAAACAAGGAAGGTGATGACTCCGTAGCGACATTCGGTGGTGTTGATAAGGACCACTACACCGGCGAGTTGATCAAGATCCCTCTTCGCCGCAAGGCCTACTGGGAGGTTGACCTTGATGCTATTGCCCTTGGCGATAGCGTTGCTGAACTCGACAACACTGGTGTCATTCTGGATACTGGCACCTCCCTCATCGCCTTGCCCACCACCCTTGCCGAGCTTATGTAAGTTGAGCCTGTGTACTGTGCATATCTATGATACCCTTACTAACTACTCTGAAGTAACAAGGAAATCGGTGCTAAGAAGGGCTTCACTGGCCAATACTCGGTCGACTGTGACAAGCGTGACTCCCTGCCTGACCTCACCTTTACCTTGAGCGGGTACAACTTCACCATTGGTCCCTACGATTACACCCTCGAAGTCCAAGGCTCTTGCATCAGCGCCTTCATGGGCATGGACTTCCCTGAACCCGTTGGACCCTTGGCCATCCTGGGTGATGCGTTCCTCAGGAAGTGGTACAGTGTGTACGACCTTGGCAACGGTGCTGTCGGCCTGGCCAAGGCTAAGTAACGGAGTAATCTATCATGTTATGTTTTTATTGATTGCTTGTATACGAGAGACAATGGTGCATGATAGCCTGCCTCGGTAGTTGGTTGGCCTTATTCTGTTAGGGGAAATCGGCCAAGACTCCTTCGGTCATGACCTCTATCCTGTTTGTTATTGATATTTTGCGACTCAGTGAGTCGCTGGCTATGCTCTAATGACATTCAAATTGGATGCCGATAGTTCTATATACACTGCGATATTCACGCGTATTTTTGATCTATCGGTACCAATATTTCCTCATAAAGGCAGCCCAAGTAGACAGTTTTACCTAGTGTATCTCTATAACCTTAATCACTCACCCATCACTGTGTACGTCTTTCCATAGACAAGGCAGCCCCGGGCGTTTTGCAGTCATTTGGTTACACGCAAAAAGGTAATTCGGCCATTCGAGTAGACAAACCCTCTTGAATCTTGAATGTCACATAACCAAACGGACAGTCCCACAACTACCAGAAGACTAAAGGACAAATCAAAACGGCAACATCACGATAACCGAGAAGTTATCTGAGTGGTCATAGGTATGAATCTCTGCCACATGTAGACCTGACTGTTCAGCAAGCTTTCCCACTGCTTTCTTGAGCGCTCCTTTCCGCCCACCGAGACTTATCAGTGAGAGATCAGCCAGTGTCGCCTGCCAGGGTACTTTGGTCTCCGGCAGGACCATCTCATCAATGAGGATCTGCGGATCATGGGCCATTGCAGCACGTGGATACTTGAGGATTTGGATACCTTGGAGGTCTGGATAGTCGTGAAGGATTCTACGAAGGTAGTAGAACTTGGCGCCTGGAGGGTTGATGTCTATGTTAGTTGAGGACGGTAGGATACTGGGCCAGTTGTGCTGAGTACGAATGCAGGACTTGCCTTTGATGACTTGTGTCTGGGAGATGTCATGTGCCATGGTTTCTACTCCGTCGATTTGCTTTGAACTTTCCGTGGTCTGCTTCTATGATGAGTCCATTTGACGCAAGGCAGCGAAGTACATATTCTAAAGGCCACAGGTGGCATTAGTCAGATACGGAATGTCGCGATCAATGGACTGGAGCTTTGTATCGATTTCTTACTGAATAACTGAGGACTGGCCCTAGACTTTTGGGCCAACTGGGCCACCTCAAGGGTATCTCGCTTTGAGAGAGTAGCCGGAATAAACCCAATTCAATACCGAGACGAACGGCTGCAAGCTGCAAGTGCAGGTGCTGGGACGGTGTAAGGAGAGTCCCAATTATATGAACTCAAGCTTACACCATTGGAAATTCCCATGAGCAAGTCTTTGTGCGTCTCTAATTCTCACAGGAGTTGACAGAGAGCATGTCGGATTTGAGCTCGAAGACAGGATATTGGCTAATGATGGGTACTAGAAGAAGGAACTGGTAGTTGGTATTTTATTTCTCTTTCCAAATAGTCTTCTTTGCGGTCATTTATAGATCTTGATGTCTCTTGCTCCACGGAAACTCTGTGGAGTTGAAGCTCTGTGATTGGCCAACGATAATACATCTACATGTCCGGGGATAGATGGAGGCCACCGTGTGACATACGAGTGGTAGTGGTAGGTAAACGTGTCTCTCTTAAGCTGCCTGGGAGAGAATACGCAATTGTAGTGGCCTGACTCTTTGTATCGTCAGCGGTGGAGGTTCCCGGTTCTCAACACATGCCCCGTTCAAGCCCTAAGCCAAGCTCATCATCTCTACCGAAGCTCGATGAAAACTGTTTTGCTTCCTCATAACGTGAAGTTTGACCCTAAGGAATCCTGGCGGAAGGTATGGGAAACTCAATTGATACGCCTCCACTAATTGCAGCAAGTGATCGAGTGTCTCGTGACGCTTAACATGGCACGCTTTTAGTCGTCAGCGAAGGCTGTTTCTGACTCATGCGGGCATGCGGTTTGAGTTGTTCAAATCTTGACCAAGGACCGTGTGGCTTTGGCTGCAGGAACCACTCGTCATCCGTTCTGTCAGGCAACCCAGAGGATGTCCACTGGCTGGTATACGAACTTTAAGACGAGGGTATAAGAAGAGGGTCTCGCCCCCGCACGGGCTCCCGAATTCCATAACAAGAGAGCGGGTCTTGGCAGCCAAACCTTGTTTCCTTGTGCTTTCCCAGCAAACGGTTCAAACTGCTTTTCCTCTCTTTCATCATCACCACCGTTCGGAAGTTCACCTCTCACACCACCCAACAACTGCTTCATCCTCGCTCAATCCCAACCCCTTACTGACCTAGACTTTTCTTACTCCGCCATTTTGCGGCGCATCTGCCGATCTTCTCTTTAGCCTTTGTAAAATTTTCCTGTCCTTGTTCCCCGTCGCGTCCTCTTGCGGCGATCGACCTAAGCTACTGGAAGCCACACCCCACCCCGCGAACCAAGTTGAACATTTTCGTGTCGCTTTAGCTGTTAGTCGCCGGCTTTACATATCATCAAGTCTGAGCTAGGATCGGTTCAAGCCTACCCTCGTCGGTTTTCCAATCCGCCGCCAGGCGCGTCGGGCATGGCGCCATAGCTGCTGGAACCGGGTCTCTACTCGCAATTCATGCATATTGCCCCTTTGTCAATTGCTATTGTCAATAGAGGTAGGGTCATCAAACATTAAATCATTAAAAGAGAGAGAAACGAGCCAAGTCGTACAGGAGTATGCTTCTTCGGTTACCGCCCAGCCTCCACTACCCGATCACCGTAACGTCGCTGCTGAAACAGCCCGGCGACTCGGTGGAGAGGGACGAGGCGCTGTTCTGGTATGTCTACCAGACGACTGTCACCGAGGGTGATGGGCTGGGCAATAAGATTGAGGTCAAACGCAAGTTCCCGACCAAGTATGAGTCGACTGTTGATGGCGAGGTGGTCCAATGGAAGATTGCAAAGGGCGACATCATCGATGAACCGTAAGTCCTATTGCCTTATTACACAATGCATGGTTGCGATTTTTAACATATGGACAGTGTCGAGGTCATCGAGATTGATGAGCCATGTGCTCACGAAGTCCAGTTTGGGGGCCTCTGTGCGGAGTGCGGCAAGGACATGACCGAGTAAGTAGGAGAAATACCCTATACGATACTATAGTTTTCTACCGCACGAACACTAACCTTGCAACCTCCTACAGGTCTACATACAATACGGAAGTGACAGATTCGATGCGCGCGACGATTCAGATGGTCCATGATAACACCGCGCTAACTGTGAGCGAGAAGGAGGCTGCACGGGTGGAGGAAGATGCAAAACGCCGGCTGCTGTCAAATAGAAAACTCTCTCTGGTGGTGGATCTTGACCAGACTATCATCCATGCCACCGTCGATCCAACCGTGGGAGAGTGGATGGAAGACAAGGATAACCCAAACCACCAAGCACTAAGCGATGTCCGTGCATTCCAGTTGGTAGACGATGGACCGGGCATGCGTGGTTGCTGGTACTATGTCAAGTTACGACCAGGTTTAGAGTCATTCTTGCAAAACGTCTCAGAGCTCTTTGAATTGCATATCTACACCATGGGTACACGAGCATACGCGCAACACATTGCAAGTATCATAGATCCAGACCGAAAGCTGTTCGGTGATCGCATCCTCAGTCGTGATGAGAGTGGAAGCCTGACGGCTAAGAACCTCCACCGTTTGTTCCCAGTGGACACAAAGATGGTTGTTATCATCGACGACCGCGGTGACGTTTGGCGCTGGAGCCCTAACCTTATCAAGGTTTCTCCGTACGACTTCTTCGTTGGCATCGGGGATATCAACTCGAGTTTTTTGCCAAAGAAACAGGAGCTGGGGACAGTCGGCAAGGCCGGGGAGAAGACAGGAACGAGACCCACAAAATCTCCGCTTGAACATCATGTGAACGGTACAACAGCGAAACCAGAGGGAGAAGTGTCGGCGTTAGAACAACTTGTGACCATGGGTGGCGGAGACAACCCGAGACTACTGCAAGAACAGACAGACGCGCAGGAAGAGACAATAATGCATCAGGTGGAAGACCGCCCTCTACTGCAGAAACAGAAGGAACTAGACGCCGAAGAAGATTCCGCAGAGAGTATTGATTCCTCTTCTAGCATGGATGAGTCGCAAGACTCAAGCAAACATCGCCACCATTTGCTGGAGGACAATGACAGGGAACTCTTCCAGCTGGAAGAGCGGCTTGAGCAGGTACATAAGCAGTTCTTTGAAGAGTATGATCTGAGGCGAACGAGGGGGTTGGGTGGAAGAGTGGCAGCTCTGAGAGGCGAGAAGACGCCTTCGAAAGAGAAGGATGTTGATCTAAAACTGGTGCCTGATATCAAGGATATCATGCCACAGATCAAGCGCCAGATCCTCGGCGGGGTGATTCTGGTATTTTCCGGAGTGCTTCCGCTCGGAACAGATACCCAGAACGCCGACATCTCCCTATGGGCGAAGAGTTTTGGGGCTGTTATCTCTCAGAAGATCAATGTGAAGACCACCCATCTGGTGGCCGGCCGTAACCGCACGGCTAAGGTTCGGGAGGCGACGCGGTACACCAACGTCAAGATCGTCACAACCCAGTGGCTCTTGGACTGCCTGACGCAATGGAAATGGCTGGACGAGGAGCCTTACTTACTTCCCGTCCACCCTGACGACCGAGGAGAGCCAATCTCGCCTGGCTCCAAGGAGATGGAAAGCGGATGGCTTTCATCATCGGAAGACACGGGAGATTTTTGGACCGAGGAAGAGGACGCGTCAGAATCCACAGAAAACATTCTCAAGTCCACCGGCCTCGACGAGCATTCCCCGATTGGTTACGATGAAGACCAGCAAGCCGCTGTCCACGAGGAACTGAAAGAGTTCCTTGGCAGTGACGATGAAAGCGAAAGCGACAGCGAAGTATCGTCCTGGGCAGAGGACTCGACATCCAACAAGAAACGGAAGCGTGATGAAGGTTCAGAAGGCGGGGACGAAGAAGAGAGTCAAGAGGAAGGCGATCAGCCAGGCTCACGCCTCTCACAGCGTATCAAGCGCTCCTACGAGCGGAGCACGGGACTGAAAGAGGTTGCGACTGCGGCCACCGACGATCCCGCTCATCAACCGCCCGTGGCTCCAGAATCCAACGAGGAAAGCGCGCAACATGGTTCGGACGAGCCTGCATCTCAAGACCTCAATGCCAACTTGCCTGAAGGCCCCGCAGAGGACGACGACGAACTCGAGCGGGAGATGATGGCTGCTTTCGAGGATGACGACTACGACGCCAAAGCGGAAGAAGACATTGCGGCAGAAAACGGTTGATCTGTTTCCTTGTGTATTGGTACTGCTCGACTTCTCCTTCTCCTGTTCATATTGGGGCGTTGAGGTGTATGTGACGATCCTGTAGCGGCTTCTCCGGGGCAAATTACATGGTCAGCACCATATTGCTGTTGTTGATACCACTTGGTATCCCAGATTGGCTAAGATTTATTATGCTTTCTCATTCCGTTGCAATTGGTGCGATGCAATGATGGCATAGCGATGGCGTTGGGTATCTGACTCGCATCTGATTGACTGTCTGATAAGTTTGTTCATAGTGATGTTTCTATAGTATTCAAGACAAAACAAAAAAAAAGAAATCTCAAATTTTGGATATCATACCATACAACGCCCATATCTTCATACAAAGTCGACCAGAAGTCATCGCATAATTATCATCAATATCGTATCCGGTCATATAAACATAACAGAAAGAAAAAATATAAAAAAAAAAAAGACCAAGGAAATCAATCCATCAATCATATACATCCCGATTAACCTGCCACGACATGATCATCATCCACAAAAAGAAGATGGTATTGACCAGCTCGAACGCAAATGCCGTCTTCCAGCAATCACCTACCGACCGCATCAGTGCACAATCCCAAATCAGAACTTCCGACTCTAGTTTTCTCAAAAAAAAAAAAAAAAAAGAAAAGGAAGGGAAAGGAAAGAAAACTCACAAATTGTCTTCTGCGTCAACCACGCCAAGGTCTGCATATTATTCCCCCCGGCGCGATTATCCACGACATAGATCTGGCAATTATCATTGACGTTCGCGACCACGCCGTACAACTGCAACGAGGTCTCGATCAAGCCGGTCAACCAGAGGACGAAGAGGATGAAGCTGCCCAGGAGGATAATGCCGGGGAGCAGGAAGCGCTGGGCGGCGAGGATGAGAATGAGCACGATGAAGAAGATGCCGAGGGCGCCGGAGACGACCATGAATGGGAATAGCCTTGTCTGTAGTGTTAGCTAGGTGATCATTTATCTTCATTTATCTAGGGTGCGATTATTGAAACAGGGGCAAAAAAAAAAGGGGAAGAGAAGATCATGGTGTGGAGCAAGAGGGATATGTACCATGGTGTACCCAGACGCATCTCGGACTGTACCGACATGAGCCAGGCAAAGATGCCCATGCAGATGGCCGAGGATGATAGCACGATGAGGATCCAGACGTTGAGTTGCAGTTCGGGCCAGTGGTAGCGTCTGCGACGGTAGACGACAGCCATTTTTGGCTTTCCTTGGCTGTACGAATATGTGGGAAGAATGTATGTAGTATGTATGTTTGTTTGTATATGTATGTGAAAATGAATGATCGCTGCCCGTCGGGGATATAATTTCCTCACACCCGGCCTGTCTGCATGTGTATACTTATATTCGATTCCCCCCGCCGGGTGGATTTGTATAGGCTGATCAGGTACGCTTGCGGGGAGGAATGAAAGTGCGGTCACTCCTTTCCCACCGCAACAATAGGGCCCGTCGGGCACAAGACAAGGCGACTCAATTGGTGGCGAACGTGCAGATGCAAGAATGAAGCGCAGAAAAGACAGCGCATCGGCGCCGTAATGGCGTTGGGCTGTTGTTTTCGGGGTTCTTTGCGATTGGACTGGCGCGGGGAGTCAAGCACCACTGTTATGTAAGCGGTGAGCGATTCATCGTTCTGGATGTCGCTGGAATTCTTTATTTAGACAATCGAGGACGGGGGAATGGAAAGAAGAGAGATCTATCATCAGAGGGAAGGGAAGGTGGAGCATTTTGATGTAAAATGAGGTGGCAGGTGGAAATTGCGGTGGCAGGGGATTTGATATCTGTCAACCGTCCTATACTTACCCTAACTGCAGCTACCTTCGTTTTTCAGTTACCATCAGATGCACCAACGCCAGTCTTGAAATCGTTTCAATGTCATTGTACATATCTTAATGCCGTTTGGTCATGTCTAAACATAATGTGATATCTGAAAAATAAAAAAACAAAAAAAAAAAAAAAAAGAAAAAGAATCAAGAAAATTCCCATCCCGTCGCCATCTACCAGTCTATTAAGTCTACATCAGCTCACAGGAGGGTGTCACCCAGTGCACTGCGCACCAGCGAGCAACCGGTCCGAATGGTTTCGGAGGCGCCTACCGACTCCAGGCTGGGGTTGACCTCCACCAAGTCCATGGCGACCAGGTTACCGGTCTCGTGCACGCACTCGCAGATGAAATCACCCTCACGGAGAGTCAGACCGCCACGCACGGGAGTGCCGGTGCTGGGAGCCCACTGCGGATCCAGAGCATCGACGTCGAATGAAAGGTGAATAGGGGTGTCGTTTCCGATGTGGGCCAGAGCCATCTCCACCACACGGCCGATACCGTACCTGTTGGAGGTTAGCTTTGGCTTCTTTGTGCTCAACTCCGAAGGTAGAAAAAAAAAAAAAAGGAGACTCACCGATCAATGTCGTGCATGCTGAACGCCTTGATGCCGTGCTCCCGAAGGATTTGCTTCTCGCCGCGATCAACATCCCGCAGACCAATGTAGACCAGCTTACGGGTGCTGACGATGTGCTCATCCTGCAACCAGCCGAAGATGTCCTTCTTCTCCTCGCGGGCCAAGCGAGTCAAGAATGCCATGGGCATACCGTGGATGTTTCCACTCGGGCTCATCTCCGGGATGTTGATATCGGCATGCGCATCAACCCAGATGACGGCCAGCTCCCGACCCAGGCGTTCGCGGGTAGCCTTGGCCGAGCCGGAGATGGATCCGATAGCGATCGAGTGATCGCCTCCCAGGGTCAAGACCATTTGACCCTGCTTGGCCTTCTCGTAGACCTGTGTGCTCAGCGCTTCGGTCACGGCGCTCACCGCACGGGGCTTCTTCATGCCACGGTGATCGGGGTCCTCGGCGGGGATCTGGTTTTCGTAGTAGTGGACGGTGTCGTCATAGTCGAGGGTGTAGCCGAGGTCGTCGCGGAGTTGATCGAGGAGACCAGCCTCGACCAGAGCCATGGGGGCAGCCTCAACGCCAAGTTTGCACTGTGTCAGGATCAAAACCCGGTTAGCGGTGGTCTTGCGATCTAAGTGATCAACATGATCGACACCTGCGCGTGGGAGGATCATACCTGGCCGCCATTGAAGCCGACTGCTACCACACCCAGGTTTCCGGGCTTGGACAGGAAGCGTTGTGTGATGGTAGAGGGTTGAGTCATGGTGAAGGGGTGGATGTGAAGGTGAGAGGGAGAGAGAGTCTTGATCTGATAGAGGGGAGAAAAAAGATTCTAGAAGCGGACTAAAAAGATAAGATCTTGCAAGTGGGGAATCGTTTCCGAAGGGTTGACACCACCAACAATGAAGGAGTCGAGGAACGGGACAAAGGGAGATGAGATGCGATGAGGGAGAGAAGTCTGAATACGACACAAGAACAGAATCCGGACCCAAGAACAGGGGAATTGAGGTTGTTTAAGTAGGGGAGACATCGTGGGGCGTAATCGGCGGCATTCTTGGGCGGATCGCTAAGACCTGCTTTTAGGGATCGAGGCTTCCCCTAAGTACAGGTCCAGGAGAGACGCCCGCGACGGCGTCACCATCCCACTCCACCCCAAGTTTTCATTAGCAATTTATTGCGATACGGGATTTTACAGGAAATGGAAGGGTATCATTATGGTTATGGCTATGGCTATGACGTTATCTATACACTCGTACGAATCCAACACCCTCAAGCGCGCGACGGCCCCAGAATCAGTTCCCGGAGGATCGCATCCGCCCTGGGCGCTTCCACTCGGCCCTTTTCGCCCATGCGCATCATCTGTCCAACAAACCAGCCCAGCTTCCCGAGCTGGTTCTTCGTCCGGATCTGCTCGACCATTTGCGGGTTCTGACTGATTGCTGCTTCCGCCAACGCAACGTATTCCTCTCGCGAGAGAGGCCGGAGAAGCAGGTTCTCCTCCTCCAGTAACTGAGGAATCGCCCGAGTGTCTCCGTCGAAGACCATGGCGAGCACCTGCTTGGCGGTAGGACCGGTGATCCGCTTGCGCTGGACGTGATCGATAATCTGGGCCAGCGATAGCGCAGAGACTCGGTCTGCATCCCAAGGAAGGCCCGCTTTGGTCAACAGGCCCCCAAGCTCGTGGAGAACCCAATTCCCGGCCACGCGTGACAGGCCCCCACGGCTCGTAGGATCCTGATCCTGCTGCTGATCGCGCAGGATATCCACCACGTCCTGGTAGTATTCTAAGCGAGCGCCATCCTCGAGCTCAACCAGCGGCTTAGCGTCTTCAATCGAGAGACCGTACTCTTTCCCCGTCAACAGCCCAATCAGTTCGTCCGAGGAAGTCGGTAATGTGCTGGCCAGCTCCGACACGAGATCAGCCCCGATGAGGAGCGGTGGGAGATCCGGATCTGGCATATACCGGTAGTCGACTTCGCCTTCCTTGCCTCGAAGTTTCCGTGTTTCCGTGCTCCCAATTGTCCAGCCACGGGTCTCACCCTCCACAACACCACCACTCTCTAGCACCGCAATCTGGCGGTTCTTTTCCGCAATGATGGCATCCTCGACAGCCTTGAAACTGCTCAGGTTCTTGATCTCCGTGCGCTGACCGAGGCCGCCGATGCCGCCATACTGATGCGCACCCTCGGCCTCACCCCGCTGACGGATCGAGACATTCACATCGGCTCGGAGACCGCCCAACTCCATACCAGTGGTGACTGCGCTGCACGATTGAAGGATGGCCTGAATCTTCCGGACGCACGCGGCCGCTGTGGCGGGCGTGTGGATCTGGGGCATCGTAATGATTTCGACCAGGGGGTGGGATACGCGGTTGAAATCAAGAAGCTGCGTGGAGGGAGGGTACTCCTGTGATTTGGCTGTGTCCTGTTCGAGCTGCACTTGCTTGATACCGATGCGAACGTGATCGCCATCTTCTGGCGCGATCCCATCGTAGCCGAACAAATCCACATAGCCGTTTTTCGCAAAAGGTTCTGCGAGGGTTAACCCACGGTCACGACACTGGAGCCATTATATATTCACCATAGTATTGTGTAATCTGGTAGCCGGCGGGCTGGTCCTGATAGAAGTAGTGTTTCCGGTCGAATCTGCTCACGGGCTGGATATCACAGTTCAGGGCGAGTGCGGCGCGGAGGGCAGGTAGCAGCGTTGGAACTTGGAATTCCTAAAGTAGTTCAGCCTCCACTGAATATCGGAAACCTGATCTGGACAACTAACCGGCTGGCTACCTGGGAAAGCCAAGTCGAACAGAGCAACATTTGAGTTGGGTAGGTCGGTGGATGATGTCGGAGCACCTGGTCAAGCAGAAGTCAGATACATGCTTGACCGAGAGAAAGGTAGTCCTCGCACGTGAAAATAGTTTATTCTCGGTATTCAACTGCGCATGAATCTCAATCCCGACAGTGAGCTCCCATTTTTGTCGCGAAGCCTCCTCGCTCTCCCTTCTCTGACGCTTCTCGGCTTTTAACGCCTTCGCATTTTGTTTGAGCTGCTTCCGGAGTGGTACACGGTCTTGCGACTCTGGGGCTGACGTCTGTAAGCACCGAACCGAACGAGACGGATTCGTGAGGGTGGGCAGTCGAGAGCTATAGGGCCGGGGACATTGAGAACAAGGAAGAGAGCGGGCTGCTCGAGTCGATTGGCGCAGCCAGGGGCGGAGCATATGGGAGGGACGGAGGAGTTTTATGGATAGCTGAATGTGGAAATAGTGATCTTCTTTCGGCGGGGGAGAAGTGAGTGTGGAATATATTGACTCGGAACGGGGCAATTGATTGAAGGAGATAAAAAAACCCAAGATTAAGTATATCTTGTGACTATCTTGGGGAAAGGCGGAATGACGGAGTTGGTCATTGGTCATGTGTTATTGCTTTTCCATCCCCCAACTGCTTTACAGAGTACAATGCGATTATTACCATCGCTGCTTTTTTATTTTTATTTTATTTTTATTTTATTTTTTATTTTACCAGATTATGCACAATGTTTTGCTGGGGACGATGTTTAGCTATGGGCTCTACATAACTAGCTAATTAACTACAGAATCATAAGAATGAGGTAAGCCAATGCAGTGCAGCCAACACATCGGTTCTTGACACGACGAGTATGACGATGAGAGACGATATGATATGATATATTCTATCTTCTCTCAAGAAAACCCCCATCCCACATTCATCCCGCTCTCTTCCTTCCACTCGAACAAGATCCCTCCCAAAAGAAATCCCCGAAAGAGAGAGAGAAAGAGCAAAATTCTCTCCCTTACCGGATTGAGTTTGGACTCCTCCGATGATCTTCAGCCAAAGATCGTCCACAAACCCCACCGAAAGATAGAGAGAGGATGACCATGTGAGATGTTGGCTGACGGGCGAAGTTGAACGACGCTTTTGCATTCGGTTTAGTTCCAACATGAGACTTTCGATCTGTCGCACTATTGCCTCCATCGTGTGGGGCGGAATTTAATTCGAGCTTGATCTATTTATTGAACAGTTGCGGACAGACCGCCGTCAACAGTCCTTCCCGATCTACGCGCAAGGGCTTCGCTTGTCGGTATGTATACATCGGCTCATCGATAGACTCTATCAGCTCCGATTTGACGCCCACCCACACGCCCGCTCTGCTCTTGACGCCCGTGAAACAGAGAAGAATTCAAGCCTACATTCTACTCAACATTCCTCCAAAACTGATAGCCGAAAATTTCCCTACCGCGCGAGCGGTCCTGCCCTCTCCCTTGTTATGTCTTTCCTGTTAGCCCCTCCGAGCAACATTTGGGTACTGTGTCTGTTTCCATGACTTCACGATTTCGATGCTTACGGGATATGGTCTTCAAATGAAAAATTCCGCCTTCACATCCAGTCCGACCAAGTCTTCTGCCACTTCCGTTCTGAGTGACAATGTTGCTCTATTCAGGATCGAGGCGCTCCAAGAAAGCCTCTAAAGACGGCGGCAATAAGGCATCTACAGCTTCAGTTGCCTCCGGGAAGTCCCACTCTACTTCAAAAACCTCGCGATCTTCCGGAGACGCCGCCAAGAAAAAGAGTACCTCTGAGCAGTCCGCCGGGTCAAAGAACAACGTACCAAGTTCCACAAAGGCGCAGAATACACAGGCGACGAGAAACCCTACTTTCAAGGCAGCGGAACCGGAGAAGAGCATGCCTAATGTATTCGAGTACCTTGAATCAGGTTCCAACACTGACTCCGACGATTCCTACGTCGAGGATGATGACGTCCTAAACCGCAACCTCAGCGGTTCGTTCAGGAATCCACATGTTAGACTTGCACGCCAGGCGAATATGACAGCGCAGGGTATGGGCGCTCCGAGCCGGACATCATCTATACGATCAAAGGGCTCAATGGATTCCTACCAAATCCCTGGTATGCTTGAACTATCTACTAGAAACGGCTCGGCTCGGCGCAAAATGTCCATGGAGGGTTATCTGACAGAGGAGTCGAACGGCTCCGACAAGCGGAAATTGCGTCTGAGCCCAATGCCAGAATCCTACGAGCCCTCTCACGATCCCACAACGTTCCATCCTCCATTCCCCCCGTCCCCGCCACAAAGCCCTGAGGAGGATCTTCACCATATCAATAGGAAGTCAAGGCGAAAGAAGAAATCCTCATCCATTCCTTCCGGTTATGGACGCCTCAGCTGGCAGTTGAGCTCATCTGTCGAAAAGGAGGAGCCATCGCTTCCCCCGCTTTACCGACGATTTGAAGATGTAAACCACCGCGTACTCCTCTATCTCCAGGATGAAATCGCACAGATGGAAGAGGAACTGCACGTATTAGATGAATACGAAGAAATGCATCGCGTAGCAACTGCGGAACAAGAAGGGACAAACATCGTGCCCGCTTCAAGACGCATGGATGCCCAAGCGCAGGTATATTCATCCCTGCATTACCGACGGGAGGAGGTGATGGCAGCCTTAGTACAAAAGACCCAGCAATACAGTGAGTATCTTGACACGAAACTTAGACGTCGCTCCAAATCTAACCAAACAAGATAACGCCCTCAGTGCATATAGCAAAGTCACTCAGGCCCTCCCCAGCGCGTCCGATAAAGACATCGACATGTATCGCGCCTGGATGAAGGAAAATGCTCCCGTCGCAGTGGCCGAGACCCGTTTCCTAGAACACAACAAAGACCTCATCTCTCTTACTACAGGATCGACATCCAACGCTCCCTCTGCCTTCTCGGCGATCATCATTGCTTCAGCAGCTATCCTCCTTCCCCTACTAGCCTTTAGCATGATCGCTGAATTCTCAGGACGTCTTCTCGTCGTCGCGATGGTGGGCGGCGCGGCATCTGCGATTGCGTCTAATTCTGCAGCTGGTGCCGAGAGATTCGTTGCTTCTCACGATGGGTGGAGAATTGCTACATTGTATGTTCCTATTAGAGTTTGCCTATTCTTAACTAGAATACTAACTTTGTCTATCTGCAGATATTTCGGATTCATGACGATAGCCGCTATGTTTATTCCTTGATTAGCCGATCACGAAAGCATGGGGAGTGGTAACATAATGACTTACGAATTTCCTTAGCAGTGATGAATTTATGCCTTCTATTACTCATGTTGGTCAAGTACTATTATCTGTGGCAGGGGGGGACTGGCCAAAGGGTGGCATTTAGGATATTGGTTCCGATGGCAGAAAGACTAGGGTTTATAAGGGCTC